TGGTGGTGGTGGATGTGTGGGTGGTGGTGGTGGTGGTGTGGTGGGCGTAGTGTCCCAGGCCTGGATCTGCGGGTTTGCGGTGGTCCGTGGATTGGGGAGGATGTACCGTGTGAGGAGCTGTGATGGAGGATGTGAGTGTGAGGAGATAGGGTGGAGAGGAGGAGGGGGAGGAGGATTGGGAGAGGAGGAGAGGAGGAGGAGGGAGAAAAACAATTAGAATAGAATGGGAGGTAGGATCATTACTCTAGGTAGACGATCACCAGGGAACGGAAGCGAAAGGGAAGGGAGGGAAGAACCTGTCTGTCTCTATCTATCTATCTGTCTCTCCCCCTCCCTCTCTCCCGCTGCTCTAGATCAACATCAACATCAATAACTACAAGAAGCTAAATACAATTGCAATTGCACATGTACCCTGCCTAATCCACCTGTCTGTCTGTCTGTCTGCCTGTCTGTCTGTCTGCCTGAAATCCCCAATGTCAATTGTCGGTCCATCCAATACATCCAACAATCATCATTCATTCTCAGTTGGCATGAATAGGGAAGCACTCCGCTCGCCAATCTCCACCCCCCACCGTCCGGCTATTGGACGTCAATCACGCTTCTTCCTTTTTTATTTTTTCTTATTGAGGGGGTGGAGCTTTACTCCAATGGAATGAACTCTTTGTTCAATGAGATTGCTTATTGCCCCCCCCCCCCCCCTCGTGGTGTGTGGGTGAGTGAGTGAGGTCTTCTTGCTTGCTCTTGCTGGCTTTTAACTTCTTTGCTTGCTCTTACACTTCGCAAAACTTGCAAATCTTTTGGGACACTGAAAGAAAGGTCGGCACTTTTTCTTCTTCATTTCTTCTTCCTCTAGCTGGTTAATTCGGCTCGAGTGATCTGATACACACACTGTCTCACGGCTTAATCCACAATTTAGCGACCCGCCAGAAAAAAAGGATAACCATCAGACTCAGACCCATAAGCTAATTTACTTTACGCGGTCCCACACAGACATAGCTTCCTTCTGCTACTACTACTGCTCATCATAGCTCCACTTTTTCACATACCAGTAAAACCAGCCACTCGACTAAGACACGCGCTACTGCTTTTTTTTTTCCCGCAGGCAACTCATAACTTATCCTCCTCACGCCCTTCAGAAGTCGAAAGGGCAGAATCAGCGGACCATCCAGCAAGTAAGCACCTGAAGAACAGAGTGCATCACAGTTACAATGTCACGCCGCCAGCGATACTCACGGCCGACGCCACTAACGGTGCAGGAAAAGGAGGAGGAGGAGGAGCCCTACACACTGCCGGCAACGGTCTATTCGCCCGAGTTCGATGAGGTCGAGGAGCAGCAGCAGATCCGTGTGGGGAGCCCGACGGACATTTCGGGCCTGTTTGACGACGACAGTGATACGAGTGATAGTAGCAGTGCGGCGAGCTCGAGGGCCGAGAGCTTGGTGGACAATGAGCGGGTGGTATTTGTGAGTAGGCAGAAGAGGAGGGAGAGTCTGAGGAGGTTGAGTACGGAGAGGGATAGGCGGAGTGCGAGGAACAGTCGGGATAGCAGGGATGGCAGTACAAAGACGTCGAGTACGCCGGTTACGCCTATGGTGGGTTCTGGATCCTGACTGCTAGCTGGAGGTCAATTATCGTGAGGCAATGCTGATTTTTTCTTTGTGCAGTCACCATGCGCACCATCAACGAGCTTCCGCCCACCATCAACCTCGAAACGTGATTCCTCAAAACGTGACTCCTCAAAACGTGATTCCACATCGTCTTCATCATCTTCATCCTCTTCGTCTTCATCTTCCGAGGACTCCCGCCGTCCACGGCCCCCGGTGAAGCAGAACTATTCCACCCACTCTGTGCAGTCCGGCGGAGGCAAAGCCAACGCAATCCTCGGTATCGGCATCGGCCACCCACCCATTGCCAGCTCCCGCGTCTCCACACCAATAATCAAAGACCCAATCATTGACAACTGGGACGTCTCCGACAACGAGACTCCCGCGAAGCCCATCTCTCTAAAGCCCTGGGGCCCCCTTGCCGTCGGCGCAAAAAAGGTACCAAGCATCGGTAGCATCAGGAGCCTCGACCGCAGCAGACCAGCACGTAGCAGCAGCTCCGCAAGCGGCCGCTTTGTAAAACCCAAGATTGAAAACCCGCAGCCAAAACATGTGGTGCGGGCACGGTTCTCGGAGATGAGGGGGTACGATGTCGATGACATGAAGCGTAAAGGGAGCCCACTCGACAGCGGCGTGGCATTCAAGCTCGTCCACCACCCCACGCACTCGCAGAGCTCAGCAGACATCCGACTACCGCCGAAGCCACGCCGCGCACAGACAATGGGGAAGATGAAGTCAAACGAGGGGAGCGGAACGTCAAGTCGCTCTTCGTCAACATCGTCTATCCGACTGCCGAAACGGTCACCGTCTGCGCCGATTGGGCCGAGGATATCGGCGCAGAGCTTCGAGCTGACGGAGCTCCCGGTAGTGTTCAGCGCGCTGCCGCTCGAGGGAACAGACGCCTACAATATCGTGCCGACGGAGTTTATTGTGCCGGATAGTCGCTCGCCATCGCCGCCGCCGGTGCAGCCGATGCACCCGTCGTGGAGCAAGTTCGATGACTCCGTTGCCGCCAGCACGGACGCAGCCCGGAAAGCAGAGCTCAACGCCATGGCGGCGATGATGGACCCGTCGTCACAGCAGGCAATGTCCTTCCGCAGCAAATACCCGATGGACTCTGCCTACTCCGGAAACCTCGAGGTGCCCAGCCCCAACAACCACGCCAGCATGGTGCGGCCAAACAGCCGGTGGAGCGACTACTCGGAGGCCGACAGCATCAAGGAGAGCTGGCGAAGCAGCGTCCTCAACCACTTCCATCTCCCGAGCGTCACCAGCGTCCGCAGAAAACTGGACCTCCGCGTCCCCGTCGCAGCCGCAAAGGAGGGCATCCGCAAAATGGGCACAAAGGAAATCCACGAAATCAAAGAAGAGGACGCCTCCCCGGGGAGCGGCAACCGACCGCGCAGCGGCGAAGCCGGCACCTTCAACCCGGCCCTCAACTCGCACTCCTCCGCCGCCGCCTCACGCAGCAGAGGCAGCACATCTGCGGGAGGTTCGTCATCAAACGGCGGCATCTTCCGCGTCGGCTCCAGGATCGGCTCGGGCCGCTCAGACTCCATCGTGACGCTCTCCCGCAGCAAGAGCATTCTCCGCCCCGAGTCGGCGCGCATCGAGAAGGCGTCCATCTCCGCCCCGCAGCCACAAGGCACCCCCACGCCAAGCTCGTCACGGCCCGTGTCGACCGCCACGAGGCCTGTCTCAACGGCGACGCAGCGCGGGTCGATGCGCGGACGACCGGACTCGTCGCCATTGGCTTCGACGACGCCGACGGCGACTACCACGGTGGAGGTGGGGAGTCCGGGGAGTGGTGATGAGGTGGCAAGTCCCGGGTCGAGGAGATTTAAGGATGTGTTTGAGAAGTATATGGTGAAGGACCCCAGGAAGAAGGCGGACGAGCGGAGGAGGAACGAGCTCAAGAAGATGATCACCGTCATTAGCAATGAGCCGGGTAGATTGATTTGAAATTTTTCGATATTCCTTTTTTTATTTTTTTTGTTTTTTATTTTCGGCTTACGACGGCGTTTTAACCTTTGAGATTTAGCATTTTTTATGGGAGGAGTTCTTTTTTCTTTTTTTTCGTTCTTTTTTTTTTATTTTTGTTTATGATAATGATGGATTATGGGTGTTGTAGTAGATACGTAGTTCCAGAAAGAGAGGGATACCTTATTTTTATATTTTTATATTTTTCTCTACATTTCTTCTTTTCTTCTTTTATTCTTTTTATTCTTCTATTTACGACTTTCTTTTTTTTGTACTACTTTCCGTTTAATCCTCTCCCCCCTTCTTTCTTCTCTCCAACTCTACTCAACTCACACACCCTTTAACGAAGTTTCACGCCCAACACTGTATATTCCACCCTGTGTTTTTAATTTTCCTTTTCTAAACTCTACATCTGAGACTGAGACGGGAGGGAGGTGTCTACAATGCCATATAATAAATTACACTTCATACACTACATGTACCTACATATAACACTACATCCGTCCTACCTACATATGTACACTACTACATGTACCTACCATACACACGCGAGCATTCTACTGGCGCGATGATGCGACGAACGCCTCTGCCTCACGGCCTCTCACTCGCAGCGCCTGATTCGGCCCATGGCTGCAATCAAGTGTCGGTTGGTTGCACCACGTCAGGGATCAGTAATCGTCATGTTGGGCTTCCATATTTAGACTAGTTAGGGTTGGTTGGTTACACGTCATGATGGACATGTGGTTCCAGAGTTTGGGAGGGAGGAGAAGGAGGATAAGGCGGGGCTTTTGTTTTTCGGCGGGAGAAGGAGGAGGAAAGGCTTGTGAGGGAGTGAGTGGGCAGTTGGTGGGAAGGAGAGTCATGGTGTGTCACTCTTGGGGAAATCGGATCTAATCTAATCAACCCCGCTATACTGCATATGTACCGGGGGTTAACATTAAATACCGAGAATCTGATAAGATAAACACACCTATTTCACAGCAAGATTCTCTTATCAGATTCTTCGTATTTACCGTCAACGCCCGGTACATCTGGATCATTGATTGTTAGATTAGATTAGATTAGATATTAGCTACATCAACCTAAATAGATACATCCTGTGCCATGCATTCACATGCACTTAGTTCCAGTTTCCCGGTTTTCGTGGACCGGTGGCGAATAGGAAGAATTGCCCACCTACAACGGACAAGACATCGCTGCACGATCGAGTGGAGTGCTGGGGGTGATCGGACATACGATACGTTAAATGTAAACTCCGTCAACGTCTGTCTAGGCTATTTTAGTTTCCGCAGATAATAGTCCACAGGTCTTGATACGCACGAAAGGAACGACACTCACGTCCTACCACCACCACCTCCTCCTCCTACAACTCCACCTCCACCTCCTCTGCCTCCCCCTACCTTCTCCTACTCCACAATGTCCACCTCCCCCCTCCTCGACCTCCCCACCGAGCTCCTCCTCAAAATCGCCCGCCACCTCCCCCTCCACAGCCTCACCCGCCTCGTCCGCGCCAACCACCTCTGCAATGACCTCCTCACCCCCCTCCTCTACGAGCGGCCCATCCGCGACGTCAACGGCTACCTCCCCGTCATCTTCTGGGCCACAATGCTCGGAAGCGCTGCCCTCGTATCCCGCATCCTCGACCGCAGCGTCGCCGACACCATAAACATGTACGCCCACCCCGACCCCGGCGAGCGTCTCCCCGACTGCTTGCACTCCGACCCCCACCACCGCATGCACTTCTACCGCTCGTGGCTCCTTGCAAAATGCTCGGTGCGCCACCATCCCTGCCAGAATCTCCTTCAGTGGGCGGTCTGCTGCCACAGACTCGACATCGTGGAGCTCCTGCTGCAGCGCGGCGCACACATCAATCCCGAGCCGCACCGCTGGTGTACTGCCCCGCGTGGCAGCGAGCCCGTGGGAACGGCGCTCCACTATGCGGTCGAGTACTCAAAGTACCTGACTGCGTACCCGCCCGAGGAGATCGTCGGCGCCCTCCTCGACCACGGCGCGGACCGGGACGTGGGGGATTCGGAGGGCGACAACGCGCTGCAGGCGCACCTCAAGTCGCGGCTGCCCTCGGACGTCATTGTGCGCAAGATGCTTGACCACGGGTATGACGCGAACGGGGTTGGGAACGACGGGCACACGCCGCTGTGGACGGCGGTTGATGGGGCGAGGGTATTTAGTGAGGGCGTGGTGGCGCTGCTGGTGGAGCGCGGAGCGGACACGGGGGTGAGGGTGTTTGGGGAGTCGATTTTGCACCGTGTTGTTGCGAGGCTGGGGCGGGAGGCGGGGACGGGGATGGGGACGGCGATGGGCTGGTGGAGTGCGTTGAGGTACTTTTTGCACTGTGCGGACGATGTGAATGTGAGGGATTCGTGCAATCAGTCGTTGCTGCATTATGCGGTGGCGAAGATGCATATGCGCTGTTTACCGGCGTTGAGGTTATTCGTGGAGAGTGGCGTGGACCATAAGTTGAAGGATATATTTGGGAGGACGGCGCTGGACCTGGCGGTGGGGGTTGGCGGGGAGGATGCGGTTGCGTTTTTGCAGGGACTTCGTGCGCCGGTGCAGAGTATTGAGCTTCTTGATTCGAGTATGCAGAGTTTAAGTATATCCAGTGGTGGTGAATCTATCTAGTTTTAGTTAGCTTGCCAGATATCTCAATAGTGAATGATGAGGTTAAATCATGAGACATCACTCGATGAACTGTCCTGCATGGTGGTGCCGAATAGAATGAGATGGTGAAAGAAGCAGATCGTTAAATGATGTTTTTTTTGTTTTTTTTTTTGAGCAGAGAAGCGAGCCCACTAGCTGTTTATACACCGTTACGGTTTGGATAGGACAGAGCATCTACAGGGCAGCACCCGCCATCATTTGAGAGGCCACATATCCAATTGACAAGCAGACAGAGCCACCGGGGGTAAAGAGCAACACCGAGTAAAGGGTTCTACATGACTCGGTAGCTCAACCACTAATGACACTGCTTCTATGATTCTTAGCAGTATTCAAACAGTTGGACAATAACCCTTGTATTGGGGGTTGGAGGCTGCTGACCGAACTGATCCAATCTATAACCTCATAACTGCGCACAGCTCCACGCAAGTTGAGCGAGCCGTATCTTAATCCTCAGCTCTCAAGGGTGATCTCCTCTCATTTGAAGCACTCCCAATTATGTTGCTTCGATGATTTGCGTCCGCCGTGACCAGCTGCAGCCAGCTACAGTGCAAGAAGATGAAGTGTAGCGAATAACTTCCTGTGTTGATGATAATGAGAAGAGGAAAGCTCTCGCTCTTCGAAGACTAATAACTACACTCTAAGCCACCTATCCTAATGACACCATGCGGTGGTCCTATAACTAGACTAGCCTCTTCTATTATGACAGGTACTCGCTAGGGTTAGAAGTAGGCCCCCGCATGTAGGCAGGTGAATTCTAGACCTTCTATATCTCGCCCACGTCTCAAACAATCCTTTTAAGGCTGTGGGCTGAATCGATTTTGTTCTCTGTTCCGTCTGGGGCAGTGGTATTGGAATCCCGAGAAGAAAGAACTCAAACGCCGTGACTCAGGGTTTTGTTTGGAGCAAAGGTCTAGAAGCCCCTCTAGTCGAGTTCAGGTTCGTTGGCCATTGACTCACGGATCGGGGCTGCCTATTTAAAGTTTACGTTAAAGGCTTAACTTCAGCCCTGCAGTAGGGGCCAGGCTGTCGAATTAGCTATGTAGGCATGCACGCCGTGTCTTGAATGCGTGCGCACTCAACCCGCACAGACTCTGTTGATGGTGATCCGCGGGTGAAGATTACCAGCCTGAAACCCCGTGGGGTTAAGAACCTTTTTGTCTTTTTTTTGTTTTATTTATGAGAATGAATACACGATAGCATTTTCTCCTGCCGTACACTTCAAATACCTACATGTAGGTAGAAAAAAGGCACCCCCAATTAAAGGACCATATGCAGGGCTATTCCCCAACAGGTAAAAGCACCAGAACCAACCAACCAACCAAAAGCCCCCAACCCAAACCTTAACTCCCTCGCCATCTTGGCACATCCCACCGAGTGACGTTCCATGATCGCAACCATCCCCCAATCGATTGCAAGTGCAACTTTCCAACCGCACCCCCTTCCCCCCGCATGATAAGAATACGATAACTCCTAACGCCTATCCCCCCCTCTCCGGCCCTGCATCAACAAACACCCTGAGCCTTCCCGGCAATTACCACCACCACGCAAAGAGCCTCCCCCGATCTGCAGCCCATTAGAAAGAACCTCACAACAGCCGTGCTGGAGAAAACAAGGCCCCGCTGCGCTATCGTCGGCCCCGATTCCGGGCACTCTCCTTCGCACCCATCGCTCCAGACCTTGCGGCTGCTGTTACTCGCCCAGCTATATCAGCTTATGTCCTACCTCCCCCCCACCTCCGCCGCCCGGATTGGAACTTACCAAACACGATCCTCCCCGCGGGCCTGTCGGATAGTGTCCTTGTCTTGACAAACAGCTGCTGCTCCTTCGCCTTCCGCTTCGCCTTTGGCCCTGTCGTTGTTGCTACGCCCGCTACGAAACTGTCATTCTCGATGTCAGCAACGGACTTCTACCTTAACCTAACCAAGCCAGGCCTAATCAGCCAAACACAGACACAGACATAGGAAGGAAGACAGGAAGAGAGGGAGAAAAACGTACAAGCTCCACAAACACAGCCCTACAACTACCTTTACGCCCGTAACAGTCGACATCATGCAGTGTTCATCCAAGAAACCAATGCAAGGCTCTGGCTTTGGATATATATATGCCACGCGAGGCTCTACTGGAGCGAGCGCTCAAGGTGGGCCTTATATAAAGCCGTGTGGTTGCGGGTGGGCGATTGTGTAACCCCATTGATGCCTAACTTATTTATATGTAGATCATGTTTACAACGAGAGTCATCACTATCTACTACACTGACTGTGTGATTACAGTACCCTACTATCTGTCAACGGTTTACTACTGTACTACTAACCTGCTTTACAAACATGCTTGCCCTGCCTACAGGCGGTGTCGTTATCAGCTACTAGCTAGGCTAAAGCTAGCCCCTTAATTTACAAGCACCTTTTTTTCCTAGGCGCCTGGGAATAATCAGCGGTTGCCTGGCTAGCAGCTATGTAGGGTTCATTGTTTGGCGTTTAGTCTATAAACATTGCAAGGTTACGGGTACGGGGTCCAGTATCCTACTAATTGCAACCGTGACTATATTATATTTCCACATACTAAGACGTTATGGCCCTACATGTATATATGCGTGACTGCAGCTATGTAGCTAGCGGGCGGCAGCAGCAAGCGTTACTACATACTTAACGCACCACCAGCCCCACTGCCGCACGCAGTGCCGCCCCCACCCCACGTGGATCTGCGATATCCCGTGGCGGCGGGCCGTTACATCTGAGTCAGATGGGGGGATCTCAACCACCGTAGTTTTTTTTTTTTTATTCCGTGATCATTTCCAGAAACCAGGGTTTGGTTTGGTTTGACATGACGGCATACATGACATGACATAAACGTTTTTTTTTTTTGTTTCCCTCTTTGGTTTCTTTCCCGCGCGGTCTAAAAGTACAAGGGTAATGTTGTAGTTGCTTGCTGCGCTGGGTACATATAAAAAAAAGACAGACCCAGGGACGAAGAAAAAAAAAATAAAAAAATAAAAAAAAAGGAAGAAAATAGCCCAAATTCTCTTTTTAAAACTTTTTGCTCCCCCACCCGGATGAGCTGTGATCAAATCGCCTCGATATAGAAGTGGTGAACGAACGGCGGTGATAGTGGCCCCAAAGCAGGTTGTAAGATCTAGCTCCTTATACTCCAATAGGTAAAAGACAAAGAAGACTCTTCGCAAGTAAAAGTAGATATCAAGAAGAGGTAATAAACCGAAGAAATAGTGAAAAAAAAAAAAAAAAAAAAAGGATAAAAAAAAGAGGAGGAATATAAATTCCGACCTAAAAAAATCAAATTCACAGCAGCTCCATCCAAACAGATCCCATGAGAAGTAGAAAAAAAATGACCCACCGGCCCTTCGCAACCAGTCTCATTTCGAATAAAATTACAGAGGGAAGAAGAATAATAATACGCGCGTCAAAAATTCGAAATTGAAAAAAAAGAGGAAACCAAATCGAGATGAATAATAGCAAACCGAGAAAAACCCCGAGAATAGAACATACTAAATAAAAAACACACCCCATTTATTACTCTCAAAACAAGAATCTAGGATCAAAATTAATGCAAGAGATTTGCCAATGCTGGGCTTCCTGAAGCCCCCGACATGACTCTCTGGGGTGGATGTGGTTGGGGAGGAGGTTCCTGTGGTCTCCCCTGAGATATTACCGGCGGTAACCCTTGCTGCTGTTGGTGCTGCTGATGCTGATGCTGCTGTTGGTGCGGTGGGTGTTGCTGCTGCTGCTGTTGCTGCTGCTGCTGGTGTTGATGTTGCTGGTGTTGCTGGTGTTGTTGCTGCTGCTGGTGTTGCTGGTGTTGCTGGTGCTGCTGCTGCATCATTGGTACCGGTTGCATGGTGACAGTGACCGCATTCGTACGGCCCAAATGAGGCGATACATGTGGCGCATGTGTTACCATATGCTGTAAGGGCATCTGCTGGGGTAGAGGATTCCGTGGAGACATCAAGGAGGGTTGGTGATTTGGAACATGCGGAACATGTTGTGGCTGGAGCGGTTGGTGTGCCTGATGAGGGGTCACATGGGCTTGATGGGGGGTCACATGCGGTTGGTGCGGTGATACATGTTGTGGCTGCCGGGGAGAAACATGTGGTTGGTGGGGCGACATATGTTGAATATGTGGGGAGACATGGTTGGGAGGCGGGGGTGGGGCAGCATGGTGCTGCAGCACAGAAATGTGACTCTGTGCCAAGTGCGGCGATATGTGCGGCGGTGGTTGAAGCGGCGACATATGGGGGTGGGGATGAGGAGACTGGTGGGGTATTGAATGGTGTGACAAAGGATGGGATTGGGGGCCCGGGTGAGGAATCTGTTGTGGGATCGGTGGCATCTGAGCCATTTGTGGCTGTCCGATCTGAGAAGGCATCCCCGACTGCATATGGGAAGGATGTATAGGGCTTGGTATAGCACTAACAGGAGGGATAGGCTGCGGCGGAGGGGGGGGAGGCGGCGCCGGTTGCTGTGCGGCCAAAAATACATGTAGAGGAGGTAAAGGCGTGTACCTGCTTGGTTCCTGTTGACCATTCATCCCTACAAACGGAGATTGACGTTCTGATTCAGGCCTTGACACCTTGCAATGGCATCGATTGCACAGAAGCCCCACAGCGTGAGAACGAGAATGGGGGACTGGGTGAGTATTGTCGTGCGCAGTAGCATCACCGTTGATCAAAACTCCGTTAGTTGCCGGGGAAGCGCTTCCGTTCGTCAAGTGTGCAATGCCATTCTCTTTGGGGTGTGGAACTGGCATTTTCCACCATAACGGACTGATATCAGTTTGGCAATTGAAACACCTTTTGGGTCCATCTCCGCCCACGTGATCGTTGAGGAGACCTTCTATTCCGCCAATCTTATCCTCCAGACCCTCGGTTTTGATATAAACAGTGGTGGGCGAACAAGTGATCTCTTTGCCACTTATACCCGCAGCGGAAGAACCCCCGGCACTGTTTCTTCGGTGGGATTGAGACGCCTTGGTCGAGATTGTCATGAGATTGGCTTTTCTAACGGTTCCAGTGAGCCCCAAATCAGCCTGTTTATAAGTGGTAACATAGAGCTGAAGAGCATTCTATAACGAGACTGTCAGCCGGATTAATTGATCAGGTGTTTGAAGGTTCACTCGTACCTGCCCAGCCTCCTCTACGAATTCACCAATTGGATGAATGGTAGACTTGACATCATGCTCTGGACACCATACAGCAGCAGTCATAGCACCTGTTTCACTCCCCAACTTGACAATCTCTTTCATGTCCCTCCTAGAGCTCTTGACTGGTTGAATGTCGAATCCCATATGCCATCCAGCTTTATGTGCACATCCAACGTGTACTATATTTATTATCAGTCACCACCTCTCACCCGTGAAAAAGCAAAAGACTTACCACTAGCGTAGCAGACTTGGCATCCAACGCAGGCCCCGTTGTCTTTACCCTTGCAAACCCTACATGTCTGGGTCCATTTCGCTGCCGGAATCGTCCCGACCCCTTCAACTGTCTTCATTGACTTTGCATCCGAAAATTTAACTTCTGGCGTCCAAACCGCACAGATGACATGTGCCCAATTATTCCCGGAAGTCTTTTTCAGTGGTTCTCTAGGATGTTGAGGACGACGTTTATCTGCCTCTTTAGTCTTCCGGCCATCCTCATGATGATTACTAGTAATAACGACCTGTTTCTCCTTCTCCTTTTCTTTCTCTTTTTCGTTCCCAGTCTTCCCTTTCTTCTTATCAGAGGTTTTAAGCTGTGGCTCTTCTTTTTTTTGATCAATAACCTCCTCCGGTTCCGGGATGCCATGGCAGGGGCACAAAACACATTCGTAGTTCTAAGTCATGATCAGCAAACACATCTAACAAACATCCAAGTTTTAAGATATAATATACCGTAGAGACAGTGGGGTTTTTATCATTGGCGCACATCTCACAAACCCATTTGTTGGCACTCCTAACTTCCCCAACCCCATAACACCCCCTGTGGACAGTCATCCTACAATCTCTACATACGAGATGTGCATTTCCGAGTGGCTCGAGGTCTCCACATACTGCACATGGCAAAAGCTTCGGTTTGGGCGGCTCCGGCGGCGGTGGGGGCGGCTCCTTAGGCTTTTCTACCTTTTCCTTTTCTTTACCCTTCTTATTGGTACCGTTTGTCTCAACCTTTAGCTTCTTACGCGGAGGTTCTTTCTTTTCTTCTGGTGTTTCCGGAATGGGTGCAATTCCGAAGGCAACGGGTTGCGGACTAGCTGTCCTCGCTGCAATTGCTGCGGCTTCAGCTTTTGCGTCCTCTTGGGCTGCATTGAGCTCCTTGAGGAGTTCTTCGTCGATTCTCCGCTTCCAGGCTCTACCGCCTCCGGCGCTGACCTTCTTTTGTATTTCATCGGGATCCTCCCATTGGATACCATAACGTCTCCATAACTCTGCACAGCGTCGGCATAGCGCGCTGATAAGAAATTTCTCCTCTCCCTGTTTCTTTTTGCTACTCCCGCCTTTGTCGGCTGGTATTAATGTTCCCGGTGGCACTCCCGGTGCTCGCCTCCATTGCCTACTACTCCTCGTGTTGCAGAACTTGCATTCAAATCCACGCTTTTTATCGATGGCTTTATTACCGTCGAAAGCGGAATCGTCTTCGTCATCAGCGACATCGTCCACAAGCTTCGTTCCGGTATCCTTGTCTTTCATCTTCGCTTCTTTCTTGCCCTTCCGTCCCTCAAAATTTCCCCAAATCTGCTTTCCCTTTTCGGTCTTTTTCCAAACATAGTAAAACCTGACTATTTCCGCTTCTTTTCTTGTTTTCACGTATTTTGCAACACTATGAAGTTCACTTCCATACCTCGCCACACCTTCCTCAAATCTTTTCAGCTCATCTGGCTTCAGCTTTGGTTCTCTCAGCTCTTTGTTGACATGAACCTTCTTCAATAAATCCAGAGACGTATCTGTATCAAAATCATTTGCAAACAGCAATTCAATAGCCTTATCTTGGAAGTTTACCGAAGATCCATCACACCCAGGACCTGCTATAGTCGAACCCGGTAGACTGCGACTAATATCGCGGGTAGTTTTCATGTATTCGTCTACAGTCTGGAGCTTCTCATCTTTCGTTTCGTCCTCGGGAATCTTGAATAGTAATGTTGAAGTTGTTCCATCATCTTCACCTCTTCTGATATACCCAGGAGGTTCATCCATAACCCATTTAGGCCGTTTTTCCTTAGCAGCAGCTTCCGCTTCCGCCGCTGCCGCTGCGCTCTTGGCATTCTTACTGCCGCCTTTCACGTACTTCTTTTTAATTTCCACTGGTTTCACGTATTCAACGGGTCGGCCATGCCATACGTTAACGTTTGCTTGATGCCGAGGACCAATTCGCGACGCTGCTCTGGGGAAGATACGGTCGTCCGGGTCGAGTGCATCTTCAACACGGCAATGCTGGCCAAGGTACCTCATCGGCCACATTTGCGCCCAATGTGCCTGCTCGGCAGTCGGAACCCTTTCGATATCTGCTGATTCGGAGGCTGTTTCTGTCTCAATTCCACCGCTACTGCAACCTCCTCCTCCGCCGGGGGACATGTCTTCATCTTCGTCGTCAAAATTCTCTTCATCAGCGTCGCCATTAGCGGAATTCGTCAAAGTCGGAGTATTCCGCTGCTCAAGCTTTCGTTCCTGTGCTCGGTTACAAGGTCCGCATGCCCAAGCAAAGCCCCTGCTAGGTTTCTTTAACAACGGCGGTCGTACACAATTCATATGGTACGTGTTCCCACAAACTGCACAATGGACAGAATCATTGCTAAAGATCGATAAAATCAGCATTTCCGTACAGTTAACACCCCAAGTTAGGATTGATAATTGAATTGTACCTAGCACAAAACCCTGCACATCGCTTGCACTCCTTCATTTGACTACAGAGCTCTTTCGCCCTTTGTGGTTCCACCAAGAGATACTTCCACCGATCGACCAATACTTTCCGTACCTTCTCAGGGACATTGCGGACCTGGTTGGTCGGTATGACGTCGTAGTAACGGTGAATATACCGGTCAAACATCTTTTCGAAATAGAAGCTGTCCCGGCGTTTGCGGAATTCGTCGACATCTTCGACCTCCGATCGATGGAGAATGTAGCACTTGCCACGAATGGCGGCAAGTGGGCAGCTATCAGAATGCATTGATGAGAAAAGGACGCGCGTGTCGGTAACTTTCCGTTGAATGTCTTTTGGTCTGTAGTACCAGTTGACTCGGATAGAATCAATAGGCTGGGTAGGATCATTGTTTGTGTGAAGAAACTCCATGATTCTTGCGAGATAGTAGGGCTCGCCTGGAGGTTCGCAAACGAGGTAAATATGATCTGCAACACATTGAATGAGTTAACCAAAGAGCTTCATAGTTGAAGAAAAATCATAGCTGCGGCAGCAATCTTGAAACTCTCTGCGGAAAAACAAGCTTTTAGGTTTAAAGAACTGAGGCTCGAACCATTTACCGACAGTGTTGTACCGTCATCTGCAATTAACTGCCCGTTTTTCAACTTTGGGCTATCAAAGCTAAGCATATTTGACAACCCCATATCCTTCGGCATTACGGGCGCAATATATTCTTTCTTTCTTTTCTTACTACTCGTTGCTGTTGTGGTTGCGACTACCGCGGTGATCTCCTTCGCCCCTTCCTTATCCTTGCTTGCACTTCCCCCCACAGCCGATGCCCTCCTGGATGAGGTAGTTGTGGGCACAACAATCTCAGCAACCGCCCCAGCAGGTGATTTACTAGAGGACGCAGATGTGGTTGTGTACTCGTAGTCCATATCATTATCTTTATCCTCGGCATAGTTCACGCGTGATCCACGATTCCGGGAACGTGTGCCATAGGGAGACGTGGACCGAATATTGGAAGCGCTCGGGGTCTGGGTGGCTGAAGTTGAATTCGGTGCTTCTGTAGATGCGCCATTGCCAGCGGGAGCGCGGGAAGCCGTTGACGATTTACGATCGGCCATCGAGGCTTGAGATCAAAGAAACAACAGTCAAATAGAAAAGTGGAATGTTTGACTGTTGAGAAGCTGGATGTAGTGAGGAAGAAGAAGTAAAAGAAGTGGGCCAGTTGGGTTGGGCCAGGCAGGTGCTGCTGTACCAACCCGGCGGATTTGCCGTATTAATGAACGACTATGTGGGAGTGGGGCTAGATCCAAAGAAGAGATGATGAAATAGTAAGGCAATAGCGGGAATAAGAAGGCCCACGAGATGTGCGCAGAATATGTGAGGTTATAGATCTATAACAAAGATGTAAAGCAAAGCGTTCTTCAAGGGAAAGAGAGCAATGCGTGTGGTTTATGTAAGAGGAGGGGGGACTAGAGGGAAGTTATAGAAACAGTAGTGATTTTTGCCCAGTCAAATGATGCAAAGCAAAGAAAACGGACTAGATACGCCCCTTCCAGCTATAGGGCTACGGCACCCCCAAGCGAAAGGTGGAAAGTCCTAGAGACGAACCAAACTAATGTGCCTAGGCTCAATAGTTTGTATCTCTAACAGTTTCAGTATCGCACTTCAAGCATAAGACCTATAAACTATTGGTTGTGGGTAGGGTGAAATTGAGGTCGTTCGATGAATGGAAGGGAAACAGAGGGGTGAGAAAGGAATGTGAGGGGGGGGCGGAGAACACGAGGAAGGAGTGAGATATATGTGGTAGAGAGGGTGTGGGTGGGGAGGCGTTGAGAGAGAGAGTGAGAGAGAGAGAGAGAGAGAGAATTCAGGCCCGGCCACACGTCAGGGAGTCGCGGGAATCGGCCAGATGCCCATGCGAGCTGGAAAGAACAATGTCAGATATTACATGTATTTACTCAGACGGAGTATAAAAACCGTTACAATGTCTTCATTATTGTTAAGATAAGTGAGGTGTAGTTTACATCCTGAGGTTTTCAAGTCGCGTGCAATTGTGTAATGCAACATTCACTACCGTCAAGACAGTAGAGTAATATGAAGGGATCTGCTGCTGCGACTCGGTTTACATATATCGACGTGCCACCTCGGACGCGACATAACGCTAAACACCAACAGAATTCAACTGCTCAAACACGACAGAAGAAATCGAGATATCTGGTCATGAATCAGTGCTGAATCGAAGCCCGTCGTAAAATAATGAGTTCATTCAGTCAGAATTGGAGCGTTCTGTGCCCTGGAACACCTGTCGTCCAAGATCGGCGGACGCCCAGAGAAAGCAACCTGAACTCCGATGTTACACGCTAAGGTCCCCGGGAGAGACACACACTAACATAACTTCACCTTGCGAAATTTCAAGGACAGGACAAAACGACACTGTTAGACTCAAGACGAGAGTGTTGACAGCTTCGTACATAATAATTATTTTCCTGAACAACACGATAACAGTCTCCCACGATGCAAATCAAGGGTATTTTATGATATTACAGGGATAATGATGTTCTGCCTCTTCTGCGGGAGCCTGTCGTTCTACAGGCAGCGGCTCTGCCCAGGCTGGCCCCGATCGGGTCCCTGTGGCTCTTGTTTGGGCGCCGCCATCCACAACACCAAGGATGCTCGTCACCTGTCAGATTACTAAGCCTAATTCAGGGTCAGGGCTGTCTTTTAGGGCCTGCCCTAAGATTTTCCCTCCTGGGCAGTCCTCCACGGGACCACACACCACAACTGCAAGTAGTCAAACCGATGTGACGAAATTTCGTCTTCGATAATCAACACCAAATACATACACGAAACCACTATCTTGAACCTTAAATATCCTCTCTTCATCAAATAAGAAGAAATGGGGGTCAAGACTAACAAGCAAGAATACTTCGAGAAGTTGAAGGGTCTCCTCGAAGGCTACAAGAGTATCTTCATCGTTACCGTCGACAATGTAAGCATTTCCCAATCAATCTATAAATTCACATGTCTATTCGGAGATGTCTAATTCTTTATTTTCTTCGATCTAGGTCTCTTCCCAGCAGATGCACGAGATTCGTCACTCCTTGAGAGGCCAGGGTGTTGTCCTTATGGGCAAGAACACCATGGTCCGTCGTGCCCTCCGTATCTTGATGGCCGACCGCCCCGAGTACGAGCGTCTTCTTCCCCACGTCAAGGGTCAGCTCTCCCCATTCTAAAACTTTTTGATCTCTCCTAATATAGTAGTCAATTACAGGCAATGTTGGTTTCGTTTTCACCAACGAAGACCTCAAGGTCATTCGTGAGAAGATCTTCGCCAACAAGGTCGCTGCCCCCGCTCGTGCCGGTGCCGTTGCCCCCGGAGACGTCTACGTCCCTGCCGGTAACACTGGTATGGAACCCGGAAAGACCTCCTTCTTCCAGGCTCTCGGTATCCCAACCAAGATTGCCCGTGGTACCATTGAAATCACCAACGACCTCAAGCTTGTCGAGGCTGGTTCAAAGGTCGGAGCTTCCGAGGCTACCTTGTTGAACATGTTGAGCATCTCCCCCTTCACCTATGGAATGGGTATTGCCCAGGTTTACGACCAGGGTCAGGTTTTCGCCTCTTCCGTCCTGGATATTGAGGAGAGCCAGCTTATCAAGAGTTTCTTGTCTGCTGTCAACACCATTGCCACCATCTCTTTGGCAGCCAACTACCCAACTCTTCCCTCAGTTGCCCACTCCCTTGTCAACAGCTACAAGAAGCTTATCGCTGTTGCTCTTGAAACCGAGTACTCCTGGGAGGCGATTGATGAGCTCAAGGACCGCATTGCCAACCCTGATGCGTACGCTGCTGCTGCTCCTGCCGCCGCTGCCGCTTCTTCCAGCGATGCCCCTGCCGCCGCCAAGGCTGATGAGCCCGAGGAGGAGGCTGAGGAGTCTGATGAGGGTAAGCTATCCAAATCCCCATTCTAATAATAAGTTGACAGGTAATTAACAACCAATAGGTGGTTTCGGTGATCTGTTCGACTAAACATTTAAACGTTTTAAATAATATATCAACGAATGGAAACAAATCTCGTTTTGGGCCTTATTATTTCACTATACGGTTTTGTGATATCATGCGTAACCTATAACACTAACACTCTAACACACAGCATTACCATATGCCCATGCTAAAAGGTTAGTCATTTACTCTTCCGTCCCTTATCATCCATTTCCCTATACCCTATACCCAAACATGGCGAAGGATTATAATATTTTTAACCCTGAGGGTTTTATAAATCTGTTGAAGATAAAAACGCAACAACAACACTCTAATTTTTTCATGACGCCTCCATAACCTCTTCTCATTTACAATTTTTCTGCAATTCTTGGAAATATGCTAATTGATGAATAGTGAAATAGATTCCCCCCCACCATGCTGTCTGACCATATCACACTTGGAAACACCCAGTCCCATACTAAATAACTATTGTCAAGATACGTAAAATTACAATTGTCAATGTTCGTTATCTAGGCACTCTATAGATAGAGTTGAATATGATTATTATATTATAATTCCGATATCCAAATCACTTAACATAAAGAGCTTTAAATCGGCAACACCTGATATAGGAAACAATTCAAACAAATAATAAATTGATCAATCAATTACATTTTTCCATAATACTCGCATGCTCTGGTGAATCTTTTCCAAAGAAGATCCCAGAAACCTCAATCAACATTGCTTTACAGTACGCAGTAAGGTCGAAAACTAAAATGTAGCTAGATAATCTCAATTCATATTCTAGTGCAACTCATAGAAACAGTATCGATTATTATAATCAGACTTACTATTCTGATCCAATTCGGGCAACCACATATATATTTGTTTATTATAGTCAGTCACGAGTCGTCACTCGATATATAGCAAAGGTGTGTCAGTAAGATCGCCTGTTTTACGCATAGATCTGGTTACATCATGTTTAATATTCTTATATTCAGAAGTAACAGCCCCCACGGAAGGTAAATGATCAACAGCAGCCATTGCCTTCAATTGGCCACCGCAATCACACAACGACAGAGCACTAGTAACGGGGGGTAGTGCCTGATATTAAAAAGGGAGGGGGGGAAGTGCAGAATCTTAGTTCAGTAACGAATCAAATTTTGACTTTAATGACCGAGTCATAGATGGTGATTCGCACAACCCTAAAGGGTCTGTGTCCCTACTATTTTACGACAGCCAATTATTTCTAAGCGCCCAGGCGTTGCCAAGTATTTTTTTGATTATTTATATGTGGATCTGTAATGGCATCATTGACATGTGAAATATAATTTGGCCCAACCAGGGCGGATCGGTGGATGGGGGTTGTTGCCAAGTCAGCCACCATAATTGTGGGAGATTAATGGTGACGGCGAAGAACCGCCGAGGTGTACGCAATAGAGGACTTGTTACTCAATGATCACCGCCATACGTCCTTACTGCCAAGATATATCCGCACGATAAACCACCTCAATATTCAGCAATGAGGGAATGAGGATCTTAGGACTATATGTAGCTACGTGTAGATACTTGACCGCTGGATCCATGGTCCGGCCAGACCACATGTGCACACTTCATTGATACTGTCTGATCATATAGCTGATCTAAACGCATCTACATATTACGCTCGTATCTAAGTAACTCGAACCATCGGATATCCTGTGGTAACGTAATTATTCTGATTCTTAGTGAAATCATTGGATTTTGCGCTTTCTTTTTGCAGATCTGGATTCTCTACTATCTCTTTATATCTCCGGTGAGCTTCAACATGAATGATAGCGCGCCCTCAAGAAAAGCTTGCATTAAGTGCTGATAGACTAAATAGTAGAGCTGGTATTATTAGCTCGAATCCCAGGAACGACCCTTCTCTATGGAATGTTGGTATTAGGAGTTGGAGATGATTGTTGACCAGTAGCGGACTCAGTCTAAGCTTCCGGTGGACTTGAATACAGAGCTGGGGGCTTCATGATATATACGCAATTGGATGTTCCTGATGATGATTCGTATCGTAAACACCGCATAAGGAGCTCCTCCATCATAAACTCTTCTGTACAAAGGGAGAGTACGGTGTGGTATTTATCTTCAGGGCTAGGCCTGGCGGTACTGTAAACCTATATTTTCAGTTTCCAAAAGGCCCTTACGGCTCGCCAAAAAGCGACAGAATAGTTAGAGTAATTAACAGCAGCGACATCGATAAGGGCAGTACTCGAATTCCCTCAACACATGTAGCAATACCTACATCCTACCCCTCTTGCCCACAGACTACCTATTCGAAACCAACCTGCTGCACCATCAAACACGCTGCCGCCGCGGCCGGATATCCCCATTCTATATATCTTCAACGGGCGGATATCAAACATACAGTGTAGTCGCGGATGTTGTCGGCTTATATATGCACTTTATGCTTAAATTAGGCTGTGGGTGTGTGGTTGTGCATGACCTGAGGTTGTAATGCTTGCACTTTCTGTGTGACAATACCCGACGGGGTGTGTGGATTATTCATGATTCGTGTGCTTGATGGACTACTCGTGGGCTCGTAACGTTTCCAAACACAACTGGGTCTGCATACCGCCGAAATTAAGGATCTCATGCAGGATTTGGCCCTATGCAACTTCGCTCGTGTTTGGAAATATCACTACTTTATGTGTAAGTAGAGGTGGTAGACACGAGTCTTCATGTGTGCTGTACAGTGATGGTGCGGCGAGGGTGAACCTGATAAGTATCTGGGGAGCTTCGTATTCTTATGTGCACTTCCGCTGCTACTGTTGCTGCTGCCTAGAGCAGTATGATAGTGTCTATCTGGTGTCCCTCAGGCAAAACGTAGACGCAGGATGTAAGTATATGCGCCGATGGGTAGGAACGGAGATGTGTGTAGTGAGGGTGTAGAGAGAGATGGGATCCCCGGGTTGCGCTCGAGAGAGAGGGAGGGAGAATCAGGGAGTCAAGATCTGGTTGGTAGATATCATTGCCCAGGAGGCCGATTGATAACCAGTCGATTTTCAGGGATCAGCACCCCTCGGTTCGAGTTGCAGCTTGAATGACGTCTCTGCTCTGTCTACTCTAGCCAGCATGGGCCTCTCCGTGGTATGGTAAGGAATTATTGATACAGCGTAAGCATCATCAATTCATGAATGCGGGGAGGGGGTACGGTTTTTCATCCACTGCCTTCGGTTTCGCTATCTAGATGCATGCACTTACTCTACCTTCTCTACTTCCTCTATCGACAAGCGAGACGACAAGCTCTGGCAGTGTTGAGGGTAGAGCACTCTAGGTACCGCCGTACCCCCATGTGTCCATGAAAACGATATCTTTAGATCCCATGTCGTCGGCAAGTAGAGTTAGATGTATGCAAGGGCTTGGCTTTCCGAATGTTTGTAAGAAACAGACATATTTTCGTAAGCCATCCGAGACACTGGCCCGCGTACCAAGCTTCTCAAATCGCACCCCCCCCATTTCAAATAAAAAGAGGCTGATTACGACATGATACCTAAGCTGGGCAGGCAGCAAAAAATCTGTCGCGCAATCAATTTGCGCGCTCTCGAATCCCAGCCAGAACCACATGAGACAGACGTCTCAGAAAAAAAAATTGATGCAATCTTCGCTCTTTACAAAGCACTTGTCAACCAAACCACAGGTAAGCCAGGGACCACCACTAAAGTTGAGTCCCTTGAGGAGAGGGCCCCACTGTCTAAAAAAAATTCCAAGGCGGTTGGCTTGTGGACACTGATGAAATGATTGGCAACCGTGACAAATCGGCTGCTCCCCACCGAAAAAACCCCACTAGGAAAGACCCTTGCACGTGCGTCGGGAGGTGCGCCAAGACTAGTCCCCCTTCCTGATCATCAAGACTCTGCTAAGCAGGCCGTAATCAACAATTTCTGCAAACCAGAAACCAGTATGCAATTAGTATAGCGATCAAACAGAAATTTCTGGCACCTTACACGTGTGGGAAATTTAGCCTCTTAGCACTATCATTGGATCCCGGAAGGGGTATCTAGAGGACAGCGGGGCAAAAAGTCAATTATTAGTGTCGGCCGGTATGGCGGTGGCCCCAATGGGATTCCCATATATAAAGATCTCTTTATTCCCCCCGTCCTCGAAAGTTCTCTATCCAACTCAACAAGCTCTCAATCTCGATCATCCATCTTTGATCTTTCATCTCTTTCACCATTTCGCCAGAAAGTTAATCAGTCTTTGAAACTCCCAATTAATACAATGGCTCCCCGCGTCGCTATCATTATCTACTCCATGTACGGGCACATCACCCAGCTCGCTGAGGCCGAGAAGGCTGGTATCGAGGCTGCTGGTGGTTCTGCTACCATCCTCCAGTGAGTTGTTCCCTCAATTCCTACTATTGAAGCATTGCTTGCAAGCTGTTTCAAAAGTTGATTGATCTCCTAATATTTACAATCTCTTCTTTCTTCAGGGTTCCTGAGACTCTCCCCGAGGAAGTTCTTGGAAAGATGCACGCTGCCCCCAAGCCTAACTACCCCATTATTTCCGCCCCGGAACTGAAGAACTACGATGCCTTCCTCTTCGGTATCCCTACTCGTTACGGAAACTTCCCCGGCCAGTGGAAGGCTTTCATCGACACCACTGGTGGCCTCTGGGGTGAGGGTGCTCTCTCCGGAAAGTACGCCGGTGTCTTTATCTCTACCGGTACCCAGGGTGGTGGACAGGAGGTTACTGCCTTGAACGCCATGTCCACCTTCGCCCACCACGGAATCATCTTCGTTCCCTTCGGATATAGCCATGCTTTCCCCATCCTTGCCTCCAACGAGGAGGTCCGTGGTGGATCCCCCTGGGGTGCTGGTACCTTTGCTGTAAGATTTCTCTTTGTTTGTGAGATTTAAGTTTTCCCCTTCAGATTACTGATTGCGACTGTTACAGGGTGCCGATGGTTCCCGCCAGCCCTCAGCAAAGGAGCTCGAGATTGCCACGATCCATGGCAAGTCTTTCTACGAGACTGTCGCTCGTGTCAACTTCAATTGACTGCATGGCACCCCCGGGAAGTCAGTAACCGCCGCACCAGCAGCATCAGCATCAACAACAAAAGCAGAAAACACAGAAAAGAAGGATGTCGTCCCAGAGAAGAAGAAGAGGGATGTCGATGAGGAGGGTGGCCCTTGCGGGCTTCCTGCCAAGTGCGACATCATCTAAAGAGGATAAAAATAAGAGGAATAATTCATAATGTACAGGTGTTGCGGGGGGGTGTATAACTCTTATTTTTTTTCCTTTTGATGTAGACTTTTTACTTCCCTTTGGTCTTTTCGGGCATTGGTAATTGCTGGTTTTTTGCTTTTTGTTTTTGTTTAATAGCGTAGCGTCTTTTTACTGTTACCAATTAAAGTAACTTTCAAGAAATGAGTTGTTCCTGTTTGAGTGATGAATTATATGTGGTCGGACCCCCATTAGTGATATGCAACAATGCTAGTCTGCTACTCTACTTTCTCTGCCTGTTCAACTCTAGCATGTCTTAGAGGAAACAACCTACGTGCCACAACGGGGGTTTACAACTCAAGCTGCGCAAAAAACCCATTCTCGCAGAAAGCTAGCAGTGGCAAAATCTCCACATCAGATCTAGACCTACGCCTCCCATAGACAACCAAGATAGCAGCAGACCTCCTAAGCGAAGCCCGTACCGCCCAACCAGCACCCCACCAAAAACAGCCCAAACGGCAGGGATGCATCCACACATCCATTCCACACGTTTCCGGACCGAACCGGACCTGAATCGAATCTCTACTCTAGGTAAGAGTAGGTAGGGTATCTCGCAATTGCTCGTAAGATCGCGATATTCTCGGGGTTTCGGCACGAAAACGTGCGATTGGCGGCTGCATCAAGGCGTAGAGCAAATAGGGTAGAGTACATATAGCTGTAGGTAGGGAGATATGCAGGTATGCATGATGTCGGTGGTGTGTGCAGATTGTGGGGAGGAGAGGGAAGGTGTGTTTGGTGGGGCGTGTTTTTTTGCATGGGGGTGAGAAGTCGAGTGATGAGATGTGATTAGGTTAATTATTTGGGGGTATGGGAGGTATGGGAGGAATTAATAGGTAGAATAGTTCAGAGTCTGGGAGGATGTAATGATCTGTTTGGAGATTTTACCGGGTTAGATGGGGGGTGTGAAGAGCTAGGGTTGGCTTATAGTTGTAGGTGCGTTGTGGTAGAGAGGTGCAGAAGGTTAATGATGATTTTTAGTGTCTATTAGATTTACAGTCAGAAGTTCCAATTGCTTAAGCCTGTTTATATTAGTTGCCCTTTTATCAATTAATCTAGCTACATATGGAGTTGTCTTGACATGCTGTCTTCACCAATGGTTATTTAATAAAGCCTTTGAACGTTTGATCCTAGACGATTTATCAACACAAAGTGATCAATTGTCCAAACCAAACTACTGAGGTATTCTTTACTCTTATTGACATTATCAGTGTGTACGATGCGTCAAGGAGGAGACGCTCTGGAAACACCCAAAGAGCGCACATTCACGCATCGTGAACGAATCGATCCTCAATATCACCACACAAACCAAGCATCAAGCCACGCAAAACAACCTTTCATTCCACAAACACCGTTCTTCCTTCTCTACTCCGCTAGAGACTTTAGTCACGTCCCTCTAGCTCTGCGCTGTCCCCAAACGGCCAAAGCCGTGATCAATAAAACAACATCCTATATCTCAAGGGTTAGGGTTGCAAAACTTGGCTTCAACGCAGGGCACTCCCGCGATTGGCTTTTTTCGCACGCAGCAGCGCAGGTACCAAAACCACACCACAAACGCACCCCACCATACGCCATGCGCTCGATACTGGCCTCCTCACGTCCCCGGACACCACATCTGCGCCCCCGACAACACTGCTACAGATTCTTCACCTTCAGCGCTACAGACAGCAATATCGCCCCACAGGCGCGTCAGTTGCAATGGCAACCACGAGCACCGCTGCGGAAGCCGCCGCAGTCACGCGGCGCAAAGCAGAAGTCGAAGGTGCGCTTCGACGAGCTCCCGCAGGGCCTCCTGGGCACGGGTGGGCTGCCACCGCTGCCGGAGAGCGAGGGCGAGAAGGGCGGGGAGAGCTACTCGACGGTCATACAGCAGGCGAGGAATAATATGAGGCGGTTCCCACAGTGCGTACTGCTGACTAGGGTCGGTGGGTTCTATGAGCTGTATTTTGAGAATGCGGAGGAGGTGGGGCCATTGTTGGGGCTCAAGGTGGGGAAGAAGAGGGCGGGAGGGGGGAAGGTGCCGGTTTCTATGGTAGGTTTGTGTGTGTGTGGCGGTGGTGAGTGTTTGGTGTGGTGGTGGGATGGGATGCTGATGAGGTGTGTGGTGGTGTGGTAGGCTGGGTTCCCGTTTTATCAGCTGGACCGGTACTTGAAGGCGCTGGTACAGGAACATGACCGCTATGTCGCGATCAGTGAGGAGTTTGAGAACCCGGATAAGGGCGGTCTCAATTGGGACAGGAAAGTATCACGAATCATTACCCCCGGAACACTGATTGACGAAAAGTTCATGAACCCCTACGAAAACAACTTCCTCCTCGCAGTGTCAATGCCCCCGCTGCCTGACCTGATCTCATCACTCGATACGGAACTAGGGCTTGCCTGGTTAGATCTGTCTACCGGTGACTTCTTCACGCAGCAGAGCACCGTTGGCATGCTCAGTGGTGATATTGCCAGGATTGGTCCCCGCGAGATTGTGGTTCCTGAAAAGGATGCCATGGAGAGCGGTAATGAGGGGCAGAGAGATCTGCTGCAGGAACTCGAGAGAGAGGGGAACCTCATAACTTATCACTCGGAACCAAAATTTCCGGGTAGTGATGCGGTTCCTCTAAACTCCGTAGAGGACTGGAACCAGATGCTGGAAGCACCTGTTCCGAGTGATGTACAGGCATCTATGAGTGTCCCGGAGGTCGAAGCTGGGAATATTCTGTTGGGTTATGCTCAGGCTCGGCTACCGGGCATGCATATGAAGCTTCAACCTCCAATTAGGAAGACAATTGAAGACACAATGTTGATTGATTCTAGGTCAATGAAGGGCCTGGAAATCAAAACGACTCTAAGAGATAATCTACAAGTCGGCAGCTTGCTGCACACCGTCAAAAGAACAGTAACAAAGTCTGGAACCCGGTTATTAAGCAACTGGTTAAGTACACACACCCCTTCCTCAATAACCGACATTTCAATCATTTCCATTTCCACTCCCTGACTACCACCACAGCTTCCCCTGTCACCTCCGTCAGCATAATCGACAACCGCCTCAACCTGGTTGAAACATTCCTGTACAACTTCCCGCTCCGGGAAAAGGTAACCTATCTTCTCAAAAAGAGCCACGACTCGCAAAGAATCGTTCAGAAGTTTACTCTAGGGAGAGGAGATGCGGACGACCTGATAGCCCTGGCAACAACCATACATATCACCAACGACCTTAAAGAACTACTAACTCTCAGCATGGACTCAAACACATCCGATGCCAACCGCCTGCATCGGGCGAGCATGGGGGCGCTTCTCAAAAGACTGGACATCCCGCTAACGCTTGCCAAGAAGATCACTAAATCTATCGACGAGGAAGGGCTAATGCAGCAGCAGCGCAATGAGCAGTCGGAGGCCGCAGAGATGATCGCGAGGGTCCAGGAGGTCATCAAGGACATCAAAGACGAGGAGGGCAGTGGTAGTACCCTAGAGGACTCAGGCTCGGCTGAGACCAAGGAGATCCTGAACTCTGCGGCCGCGGGGCTGAGGAAACGCAGGATTTTGTCGGGGAAGGATCAGGAGCGGCAGGAGGCGTGGATTATGAAAAAAAGGTTTGCTATTGAAAGCCATAGCCTTGTTATTGTTATTGTTACTGTTACTGCGAGAGAAATCATTTGTGCTAGAGAGATATATTGTTTTTGTTTCTTTTTCATCAAATCTTTTTATCGTATCAAATTGGCTTATTCAATCTTGTGCTCTGAGGGGGGGGGTGCCCTGCCCCCCCGTTTCAGTAGTAATTTTTGTGATGTTTCAGTGCGTCACCTACACTGGCGAAGCTCCATAAGACGCTGGAGAAACTGGACAAACAGCGAGATGAAATGGAGGAGAACCTGCGCAGCACTCTGGGTACCGCACCACTGCTACTTGCTCCATTCACATGTGCATGTGCTGATTCGAACCGTAGATGTTCCATCATTGACCCTGCGATGGAACCCCGGATACGGCCACATCTGCCACGTGAAAGGTAAAGACGTCGACGCAGCCCACGAAATCCTCAAAAACGCCAAATCAGTCAGCATCAGCAAGAGCACTCGCTCATTCCACCTACCGGTACAACCCACCCACTCATTCACATCATAAGCATCGTAATCATCATTGACAAAATGCCCGGCCATGTAGGAATGGACAGAGCTCGGCCGCGATATGGACATACTCCGCCAACAGATCAGAGGCGAGGAGCAGAACGTTTTCAAGTCCCTCCGCGACGCTGTATGTCCCGCCCGCCTACTCTTTATGCTCCTAGCTAGCTATCTAACCGTGTGGCGGGGAGGGGAGAGTAGGTAATCAAAGTGCTCCTGAAACTGCGTAGGAACGCGGCCGTGCTGGATGAGCTCGATATCGCATGTTCCTTTGCAGCGCTGGCGCAAGAGCAGAACCTCGTCAGGCCTATCTTGAACCTTGGGTTAGATATCTTTCAACTCCCCTCTTCGTCGTTCTCCTTCTGTGTAGCTGGTCTAATAGATTTCTAGAGTGACCCATAAGATTATTGGCGGTCGACATACGATGGTCCAGGCCGGGCTCCAGGGGAAAGGAAGGTCGTTTACGCCCAATGACTGTTTTGTCGGCGATAAAGAGCGGCTTTGGATCGTGACTGGGTTTGAAAAACCCTTACCCCAATTAATAATTCTTCTTCTTCATCATCATCATCGTCGTCTGACTCGAGTGACATCACCAGGCCGAATATGGCGGGCAAGAGCACATTCCTGCGCCAGAACGCGCTCATCTCGATTCTGGCACAGACGGGCTCGTTTGTACCTGCCGAGTACGCCGAGATTGGCATCGTGGATAGGATATTCAGTAGGGTATGTTTTCTCTTCTGGATTTTTTTTGTGTGTTAGAGGCAGCGGGGGGGTATGATATGACTCTGACCCTGGTGCAGGTGGGGAGTGCGGATAATCTGTTTAGGGATCAGTCAACGTTTATGGTGGAGATGATGGAGACGGCGCAGATATTGAAGCAGGCGACGCCGAGGTCTTTTGTGAGTTTGATTAAAACCTCGATTTTTTTGTGATTTTTTTATTTTGCTCGCTTGCCCCCACTATCGCTTGATCGAGGGTATTGTAAGCACGGTGTAGTTGGAGGTGTTTGCATACCCGGATGGGGGAACTGTCAAGATAAGCGCGGCAGTCTATTCCCTGCATACAGGCACGCATGACGTCTGCCGATCCCACATTCCAATCCCCACTTCCACATACACCATTTCTACCATTTCCACCATTTCCACCATTTCCACCATTTCCAATTTATAAGCCACGCCCTACCCTCAAATCCCTATTAACCCCCGCAGGTAATCATGGACGAAGTCGGCCGGGGGACCACCCCCGTCGACGGGCTCGCCGTGGCCTACGCCTGCCTGCACCACCTCTACACCATCAACCGCTCGCGCGCGCTCTTCGCTACGCATTTCCACCAGCTGGCGGAGATGGTGCGCGGGCCCGGGTTCGAGAGCGTGGGGTGCTACTGTACGGACCTCGAGGAGGCTGAGGATGGGTCGTTTGCGTATATACATAAGCTGCGCAAGGGCGTGAATACGCAGTCGCATGCGCTGAAGGTTGCGTTGTTGGCGGGTAGGTCTTTTGGTTCTATGGTGGGGTGGGGTGGGGAGAGATGCTGACTGGGTGGGCGTAGGGATTCCGGAGAGTGCGATTAGGGTTGCGGAGGAGACGTTGGGGAGGTTGCAGGGGGAGGGGGCGGGGTAGGGTTGGGTGTTAGTGGGGTGGGAAGGGTTGGTGGGGTGAGATGGGAAGGGGGAGGGGTGGGCTGGAGAGGGGGAGTTAGTTAGGAAGTGCCAATATACCTAGGCCTAGCGCCATTATCATTGCCGTTTTTAAGGCGTTATTATCATTACCACCCAAATCCAAGCTAGTGTTTCTGGCGCAGCGATCGAGCAACAACCAATTACAAATCCACTCACACATGAAATGAGCTTCTACCCCATCTGCCCCCTCCGTAGACGAACATGCACAATGACGGCACCGCCTGTAGGTACCCGGCCAAAACGTGCCGCTTCGGGACAGGTCGCACAGAAAAAGTCCTAATTATTACATGGCGAGACGAGACGAGTGCTGCTGTGTGACCCATATAGCAGGCGGGCGGGCGGGTGGATGGGTGATTACGATATCAGTGACTCCTATAGCTATTAGCACGCCTTGGGGGAGTTGTTATTGCGTGAGTTACATGACTAGATGTAGATTGCCGAGATATTGGGCATGGGGTTGTGAATTATTAATGCCCCAAAAACACAATGAGTTTGTAATCAATCAATCAATCAATTACTGTGCTGTAATTGTAATTGTAATTGTAATCAAAAGGCATATATCCCGAGGCTCGAGGGTCATGATATGACGTGCTTCTTCTACGTACTTGCTAGAGTAGAACCACTCATATATGTGATGTGTGATGTGCGTGTACATACATTCCTGACTACGCCATAGTTTTTACTGCATGCGATCTTTTGTACCCAGAAACAAATTGAAATGAGTTAAAAAAAAAACGTACATTCCTGACTGTTGCAGACGCCACAGTCGTGCCAAGTCGGTGATTTAGTATTGTATTGTACGCAATAGCGGCCCAGTTTATGAACGTCATGCAAATACGGGTACAGCCGTCCACGGGGTGAGGACGAACCAGGGTTCTTGATATGGCAAGAAATAGCCAAGCTGCCAAAGCGATCTTTCCAATCGTCTAAAAATCCCTGTTAGTCTACACCCAGTGTTCGTCCTCACCCTGTGAACGACTGTACATTTACTTGTACTTAGTGTTACTCTGTACTGTGTACTGTGTCGGGACCACATATAGTAGAAACAATTCAAACATCTAAACAAAATCCAGATCGACCTCGATATACTTCTCGGGTCATCGTGGGATCCAGTTGCCTGTTCCAAGAATGTGGAGGTTAACTTGCGGAAGGTACATCAGATGTGCGGGAAGAGGGAAGCGAAGGGGGGAACAGATTCATTGCGGCACGGTCTGTAGGGCGTGGTACAGGTTTAATTGGGTTGTTGGTTAACGTTGGGTATTTCGTAGGTTTTCCGCGGGTGGTGGGAGGGGGGCGGTGGAGGAATGGACAGATGGAAGGATGAAGATAGATTGATTGATTGATAATTCATCAATTGGAAGGAGGCAGGTACGGTGAGAGGTGGGTTTGAAAGTACTTAAGAAGCTGCCTATCCCGCTGTTATTACCTCCCCATCAATTGCAGCTATCTCCAGCTTCAATTAATCAAAGCTCCAATTACCCCAATCTACAATACAAGCCTACCCACCAACCACCTCCAACATGCAGCTCCTCTCCCTCCTCTCCCTCCCCCTCCTCTCCCTCCTCCTCTCCCCCACCACCGCCATCCAATGCAACAACACCCTCCCCGCCTCCTGCCTCGGGCCCGTCTCCCCCCTCGAACCGACAACTCAGACAATCGCAGATAGCCTCGCCGACCAAACTCCTCTGAACAACCTTAGCTACTCCGCCGCCCGCGATGCCTTTGACGTTTTCAACATCCCCACGAACCCGGGCCTCAGCTCGGTCGTGTACACGGAACTCAACATCCCAGAGGGCCCCACGGGGAACCTGAATCTGCATATATACCTCCCGAAGAAAAGGGGGAGGACGTTGGTGCCGGCGATTTTGTATCTGCATGGTGAGTTTTGGGTTGATCATTGCAAATTATGTTGTTGGTATAGAAGTGGATTGCTGATCATTGGTTGTTGTGTGCACAGGTGGAGGGTGGATTCTCGGCGACCCGGTGGTATACCAGCAGGCGGTTGTGGGCTTGGTAAACGATACAGGTGCGGGCGTGGTATTCGTGAACTACACGCGGGCGCCAGACGCGGTGTATCCCGTTGCGATCGAGGAGGCGTATTCGGCGCTGCAGTGGCTGTATGCGCATGCGGGCGAGTACGGGATGGATGCTAAGAAGGTTGCGTTTGTTGGCGACAGCGCTGGTGGTGCGTACTTTATAACACCTAGTTTTGAGTATGCGGATGAGTTGGGCTAACAGATATACGCAGGCCACATGGCAATCGGCCTCTCCCTCCTCTCCCTCGAGCGCAACACAACCCTCCCCCTCTACCAGGCCCTCATCTACCCCGTCACCAACCTCGCCTGCGAAAGCAACACCTACACGCTCTTCCACGACGGGCCGTTCCTCACCGCCGCGCTCATCCGCTGGATGATTGACGCATGGACCCCGGACGTCTCCCGCCGCAGCGAGATTCTTGCGTCGCCGCTGCTGGCGCCGATAGACCAGCTGGAGGGCTTCCCGCCGACGCTGGTGATCACGGCGGAGTTGGATCCGCTGAGGGAGGAGGGGGAGCTGTTTGCGCAGAATCTGGCCGCGGCCGGGGTCGACACGACGGCGCTGAGGGCGCAGGGAACGTTTCATGGGTTTTGGTCGGTGAATGCGTTGAGGGGGACGCCGGCGGCGAGAGTCGCGAGAGAGCTGGTGACGGTGAAGTTGAGGGGCGTGTTCGGGACGGGGTATTAGGTGGTGATGGTAGTGGTGGTTACATGTAGTTATTTGTATATATAGCTGCTAGTTAATATATCCAAAGTTCCGGTATTTGTGCATGCAGATCTTATCACCGTCTTCAGTAAACAATATAACCCCACTGTATATAGTTCAAAAAAAGCACAAAAACACTCTCACACAAAACCGGTAGTATGTATCATTGACACAACCGAATACATGTAGTAGCGGGGTGTGGGCACAGACCGTCTCATCGGGTTCTTCGATGTCGAGTGATTATCCATGATGCACCCACCATACATCAACCAGTATCCCTTACACGGATGACACGGTGAATTTCAGGGTGTTGGTGATCGAGGTCTCGCTATCTGGGGTCTGGAGGCTCTGTTACCCTAAATGTTCGGTTGCAGAAAGATGAGAGTGAGAGTGATGATGATGGTTGGATCAAGTCGGTGCCACAGCTCAACTTTATAGGATCTCAAAACTAACACATATGCTTAACCGGTTACAACCACGTAGCCGTTGTAACGTGTCTTGACACATGCATATATATCCCGCCAACCTGCCCCACAACGGTCAAATTCGCAGCTTGCCTCTCTGAGTTGATGCCAGAACACCAAACTCGATTGGCTCTCTGGCTACATCTATTGCTATTCGGAAAAGAAAAGAAAGTTGCCCAACGAGGTGCGTGCACGGACCAAGCTGTGAATTTGGCCGTGTCGTCCGTCTAAGGGTTACTACATGTACTGATACATGTAGTAGCGTTGCTTATCGTCACACGCCATCACTCGCACGGCTGGTAGATCAGATCTGGCTAGCTTGGTTAATTGATCGATTGGTTGGTTTATTAGATATGGCCCGCTATTGATTGATTGATATGATAGCTGCATGTAGATTGACTGATTAAATCTAGCTGACCTCGCATCCACTATTGGCTACATGTACTGTATATACAAAATCCAGAACACCTGGGTCACTGACCGCAACGCTGCGCACCCATCACAAGAGAGCAAGCCCCAAATAAAACGCCAAGAATACTTAAATTACTACAAAAGACCTAACCCACAAAATGTCTGGCTTATCCTGACACATAGCGGCCAAATTTACATGTACGACTCGTCTTGGCGCAGGTCGATCCTACTTGCAAGTTTTCCCCCGCACACCTCCTTTAAACTCCACATGCTACTTTGGGACTGGAGGCCACATCTCAGTATCACCTCCCCCTCCGACTCTCCTCTTCCCATTCTTGGGGGGACGGGAGGCCGGTGAAGCTACGCTGCAGGTTACAAAGCTTCCAAACGCACATGCCCTAATCAAGCGCAAAGATAAACTAAGAGTACTACTGGACATAGTAGCGCATAGGCCAACACCGGGGTGTTGTTATATACGTAACCTGATATTTTTCAATTTGATACATTTTGTTGTTGCATGGCGTCGAGTGATATTTCATGATCAACTGCTGGCCGCATACGATAGCGATGGATAACCAGGTCTCTAAATCGGCTGGAGGGTGCGGAAAAGATTGTGGGTTCCAGATCGCTAGATACCTGTAGCTACCCTAGCCTATCTATCATCAGGGGATTGCCTATCCGCGGGTAGCCTACGATGGAGGGGATTAGTCGTGGCGGCTTGCTCGTGGGGATATTTGTTATTTGCGGTGTTGTTGGTGATAACTAGCTAGTACGTGTACTTTACAACTGTCACGTTTTCTGGCCAGTTGTACTTTTGTCATCAGAAGAACAAGTTGTTCTCTAACGCGACGGTAAGCTATAAATAAGATTTTCTTCTCTTGCTTTCTTTTAACCCAAACAACAAACACCGCTCATCGCTTCTTTACTACTCTAGATAAGAAATATTGATCTACTCAGTTTTATGTCAACTCATCCATGCTTGGGGATGTAGCTTGTACCGTGGGTGATTTGCTCACTCTGCTGGCTGGCCAGTTGAGCTTGCGGTGGTTAACGGAGCAGAACACCACCTCTGCCACTAGAGTTGGATGAGCCCCCCACTCGGATTGTCTAGGTATGACTAAACTCTCACTGAATCCCAAGACTGCGCTGATAGATAGATAAGCACCTACCACGCGTGGTGCTAGTCCGGGGGTCACGCCCTCACCACCGCGAATTCTCATCACCGCAGCACCCCTAGCTAGAACACAACCACACACACGCTCGCCTACATACAAGCACAGGGCAGAAAGATTAAGGCTTTACTTCGGAGAGTAGAAGTAAGCATGCGCATTGTTTTTTACGCGCGGGTCATGCGCAGGGTCCAGACCAAGAACGTATGCAGCTAGTCAGCCTGCGCCACAAGCTGGCACCGAGTGATACACCATGAATCACTGCCGTATGTCGATCCTGCCGCTCCGTCCCTCGCCCCACCATTCCAACTACACTCCACTCCGACTACCCCTCTATGCCCCACTACTAAAAACCACGGCCTAGAACAACATCCTCCTTACATCGGTCCCGAATAAAAAATAAACTCGTAGCTGTGGGTTGGGCGTTGGGACCTCCCCTTACTTACATCGTGGTCACGTACGTTTGTACCAGCTTCTCTCCTTACATCCCGAATCCCCACTATCTGGCTCCCACGCTGTCTCTTCGCCGACTACATCTCCACTATCCCCCTACGTTAACTGCCACCCGCGCAAGCTCAACCCCGAAACACCCCCGCCAAACGCCGAAAGCATCCTACTCGGCCCCGGGCCCGCCAATCCCGGCTCAGGGAGCAGCAAATGCTGCATGTACATGTTTGTACCTATGTACATACAAGTACATAGCTGCACGTGTCAGATGCCATGCGCTCATGCCCACTCGGCCCGAGCGCGACCGCTTCAGAAACACTGGGGGATCTACCTAACGTCCGTCTGTCCGTCCGTTCGTCTGCCCGTCCGCGGACATTAATGAAACGAGACGAGACAAGACGTCGATAGTCGCCCAGGGAACCAATAGCACGGCCCCCACCCCACAGATTGAAGGAGGCGGCCGAGTACATTATTTGTTATTATTGCTGCAGTATACATACTACTATACCCTACTGACAAATCCTCACCTCAGCTCTCAGCCCATGGGCTGATCCTCAACGGCCCTGCTCCTGATCCTCAGGACGTACAGTACCAAGGCTGATATGCAGCTCGACGGGTAGGTATGTAATATACAATATATTCCTCACCACCATGCTCTACTACTACCACCACCACCGCCAGCCTCGATCTTAGGTGCAAAAAGATGTAAGATAAAATGGGTATATATAATTGCTACGGGAATGCCTGAAACTAATGGCGGATCTGCTATAATAGCCATATGCATATATACAGTGTACTACAAACAGCCCTCTGCAGACCCCCCTCATCTCCCCCTCCCGTTCCTCTCGGGCTCCTAGATGCTGCACTCCAGGTAGCAGTGAAAAAAAAAACATCATCGCTAAGGACATAAAAAATAAGGTATATCAATGAGAGTGGGTGAAGTAAAGGTAAAAAAACAAAACGCGAAAAAACCCGCTAAAAAAAGAAGAAAAACTAAGACGTAAAAATCAAAATCGTCGATCGATTACCGCACTGGGAAAGAAAGAAAAGAAAGGAAAAGCGAGATGAAGTACTGAACCCGGAGGCTAGCTAGACATCCCGTTTTCCCATCCAAGAAAAAGGATTAACTTGCGGGTATAGAAAAAAGGCAAACAAAAAAAGACAAACCCCCCCTTCCCAAAAAAAAAAGCCAGCGTCGTTCGTCCAAACGTGAACAAGGGGTTATAAGTTTCCCACTCCCCCAGCTGCCGGCCGTAAATCGATATTTTTTTTCTTCTTCCTCTTCCTCTTCAGCTCTGGGGTAAAACGGGTTGCGTAAAGTACAAAACCGGGGGCCGAGGGTAGGGTGTTACAGATCTCCGAGTAAAAAAAAAACAATTACTCAGAATTCTCCCCCTCCTTCCCCCACGGGGCGGAAAACAAAAAAGCGAACAAAAAAGCAAAAATCAGGGCAGCAAAAGCTAATGCCGCCAAAAAAAGAGTAGAGATCAACTCAAAGAAACAGAAGTGGGTAAAATGAGTGTCAAAAAAAATAATTCCAACCAATCAGAACGAGTCGCTTTTTTCGCCAATGATCGGGACGGCAGCAAAAAGAAGCAAAAAAAATGCTGCCGCCGTTCTCCAGGGGTAAGTGATCGTAAAGGAACCACATCTAACCGAACCTTAAAAAAAAATAGACATGAACCCCACATAATAGCGCCATAATTAGAAAAACACGAACGGAAAATAAAAAAAAGGCGAAAAACAAGCGAAAACCGCATCATCTTTGCAAATTTTCATATCCATCCCGCGCCCATCACCGGCAGCTCATCCTCAAACACGCCTCCAATCTCGCTCGCATAGTCGACCGCCGAGAACTTGTGCAGGCCGTGCATGTACATGAACTCCTCCTCCGCATCGCGAATGTCCGTGCCCATCTCCTCCGCAATCTCCGCCACCTTCGCCAATTCCGCGCCGAACGGGTTTGAGCACGAGCGCGACGCGCGGCCGCCGCCGCCGCTGCGCATCGTCGCCGACGACAGCGGCTTGTTCCGCGACGGGCTGCGGGCGAGCGGGGCGGGGGAGGTGGAGGTGTCGATGCTGGGGCGTCTCCGCGAGGAGGAGGTGCTGCTGGACTTTGCGCTGTGGCTGCGGCGGGGCGGGGGCGACGGGACGGTGGAGGGGGAGAAGTATGTTGAGAGGTGGTTGTGCTTGGGCGTGTACGAGTCCTCGGCGGAGGAGAGGTCGGTCTCTTCGCCGGAGGAGGGGGACGAGGGCGATGATGGCGAGGAGGGCGAGGAGGGGAAGCTGCGTGATGTGGGGGAGCCGTTGGAGGACATGGAGCTGTGGGACATTGAGCAGCGCAGCGAGGGCGAGGTGTAGGAGATCATGTTTGTGGTGGATATCAGCTCGACGGGCGACGAGATCTGGATCTTTGATATCGAGGAGCGGCGCTCCGACTTTTCGGAGGAGAAGCCGTACTTGGAGCTCTTCTTGGTGATTGATCTTCCGAGTGCCATTTTTGCCTGTGGTGGTGGTGATGGGTGGTTTGGGTGGGTTTTGACGTAGGTCTTGGAGGTTATATATAAATATATATATGTCCTGAACTAAGTCTCCTTTCCTCTCTCTTTTCCGGGAGTGGAATATATATAAAGTATATATATATTCAAGAATTGAACGTTTCACTCAGGAAGGCGTAATTCCCCGTTTTTATCTGGGAAGGAACTGCGGGGTGGGGAAAGATTAGGTTTCGTAGAGACGGGTTTTTAGTTCCAAGGCCCGCCGAGACTTGCTACTATCTGCAAAGGGTGGTGGAGGAGGCGCTGCGAGATTCCACCGGAGCAAGTGAAGATAGTGCGTTGCGTGTGTGCGGGGTTTTTCCTGAAGAGAAATGGCCGAAAGGGTGTGTAGTGGACAAGGCGACGGCAATTTAGGGAGGGAGGATATTTCGAAACCTGCAATGTGACAAGATCTGAAGTCGTATATATTCTTAAGCTTCCACCTGGAAATATGCTCCTATTTTTCCCTTTTTTTTTCTTTTCTTTCCTGAGGGTGGATCGATACGTTGGCTAGCAACGTGTAAAGTAAGCTATCAATGGGTGGGAAGAGAATGTAGAATCGAAAGTAAAAGGTAAGAAAAAAAATGAAGGGCGTCCTGGCTAGCTAGTGACGATGCACAATGGTGTAAAGCGGAGGAGCACGAAAGGAATGAATGGAAGAGGTCCCGGCCCGTCGGAGAAGAGTACACAGCGAATATGAAGAAGGTGTCGGGGGTGCTGTGCAGGTGGACAAGAAAAGAAGGAGTGAATTAAATGGAGGATCGAGAAGGGAGAGCCTGCGGATTGGGTGTGGGGGTGGGTCGTTTTCCCTTTAGTTTCTGGGGGGGGCGGCCAAACATCGCAGTACACTCCCCAAAAAAATCATCGCAGGCAGCCTAAAGTGTGGTGGGTGCGTCTAGTGCAACTACCACGCTGCCCGAAACGACGGCGGCAGGGGGCTGACAGGTTCTATTGGTTGACTCTTCGTCCCATGCCCAAGCTGCCCTCGCATCTGCATATCACACCTCATCCTCATGGCCAATCAGGACCCCGTGCCGGCAAATTGTACTATTGAGTTCGCGAAACAAGGGGCATTTAGCACCAGGGGGGAGGTAACAAGAGAAGGTTTTTCTCCCCCCAGCTACCCAGCTAGTGTGATGTGCGAGAGGTTTGTTGGTGCAATAATTGCGATGCCCATTGTCTGGTATCATAACAGATAAACAATCGCCAAACGGCCGGGATTTCTGTGGGTTCTCTTTTTCTTGTCCCCGGGAGTTTGTTGGATCGCTCTCAAAAGGAATCTCCTTCCCGCTGCTTGAACTGCTAGCTACTGTAGTTCAACGTGTGTATGGAGCAGCTACGCATAGTGAGTATATAGTACGCATTCACGCGCGCGCGACGGACACCTGTGTGTCAAGGTTTGTGTCCTCTATTTATTCGTTCTGTTGTTTCTGTATTTGCGATACTCCGCCTCAGGAAAGTCCAGCATGTTTCCCTGCTTGCAACTATATATTCATGTATTCTATAGGACTTGTGTCCGAATTTGTCAGGTATCTAATAATTAACTATCAGATCCTGTCCCCATCACTTTTGTTTTGCAAACATGCGGACGAACCCATCCATTGCTTGTGAAGAGAAGAACTTGCAATGATCATGATGAAATTTATAATTGTAGCCTAGTCCCGACAAGGATATATTACGGCACCTAGAAGAGTACTATAAGTGAAGGAACTCGTGACGGCGCGCATTTCCCGATATCTTTATTCGGAGCACCCGGTTTCGGAGGTATTACTTTTTTCCGGGACTCCCCGCCGTAAGGAAAGTTGCATCTCAAATTCTCCCCAGTATTCCTTCTTTCTCTAGCTTTGCCCTTACACATTAAGCGTCGACAACCTCATGGGGTGGCGAGATGGTCTAGGTAGGTTCGAGCGCAAGGGGGTGGTAGAGTAGTAGTGATGATCAGGGACCACTGTATTTCTTGTTTCAGAATTATTCATCCAGCTGGGCTTGCCAAAGCGTGTGATTATTCAATCATTCTTAGGTGCTTGACTGGTTGGCCGCCTCACCTCCGTTCAGCTTAGGTAGAGACGAAACAAAAGAGCGTTAAACAACATTCTTGATGTTTAGAAGTAAAGGAGTAGATATCCGCGCAGAGGCAAATAAGAGATAGTACCAGCGACACCAAGCAAGCGGAGCAGCAGCTGGTAGGTAGTGAGAGGTAAGTAACATACAGTAGTTTCTGCAAGCAAGCTGCAGTAGCTACCCAGTACATTAGCGTTACTCTACAAGTTTGAAGTTTCAAACCTTTTCACAACCGAGCGCTCCATGAAGTAAGCCATATCTGTTCACGATCTCAGCAGCTTTTCCAGAACTTAAGTCCGGCCGTTACGGTCGTTCTTCCGAGGTCTTTCTCCTTTATCAAGGAATACCATTTTTCCCCACCATCGCCGGCCCCCGCAAATAGTTACTCATCTCCCCCCCCTCACGATCTCATAGTAACACCGATCCCACCATTCGACTTCCAAGGAATTATTGACGCTCCGCGGGCTCTTGCGGGTTAATCGGCCTATTACCCCAGGCAAGCCGACTGAATATACGCCCCCATATTACCTACCCCCTCAACAATCTGTATGTACCCTGTAGTACTGCACAATCCATGATCATGGTATTAAAGCTCATGAAGATGAAAAGGGTGGGAGGCTGTGCACTGTGAGAGGTTCTTCTATTCTCATGATTGTCACAGAGCAGAGTCTTGAGTGGCTCAACCGTGAACTGGAGACGAGACGAAAAGACAGCTATTGATTGATTGATCTGTCATGAGGATGCCGAAGCTCCACAGATTTATATTTGTGACCCAATCAGCCACCTGTCCGTGACTTCTAGTCTAAAATAGCGACCTCCCTTTCCCGTTAGCGCCCTTTGCTCCTAAGGCCACGGGGTGCGGGGATGCTTTGTCTGCCTCATCCCTATCAACGATTTCAATACTCATGTCGCCGATTATTCCTTCATATTGTTTCCTTTGTCCTTGGCAGAAACACCAGTCCGCCCCCTTTCTTTCTGGCCTGAAAGGGCATTTTTGGGGTGCTCTTTTTTGTTTTGTTTCTCCTTTTTCAACTTCTCAGCTAGCAAGAACCGCGGCCGCGAATTTGTGTGAGCGAGCCTCAATAACGTTTGAAACCCTTGACTCGAGCCTCAACCCTTGACACCCACGCTAGCGACGCCACGCCGAGAAACCCCATTTTTAGCCCCCCCGCCCCACAACAGCAACAACTGCTTGGATCATGAGCCATGGTTCGCACATTTACAGCTTCATTTTTTTTTTTAGTTCCAGTGCCACTGTACCCAGCTCTCGTCCACCACTTCTTCATGGCCCTTACATGTAGTTGAGACCGAGCCTCAAACGCCTCCTTCAGTTGACAGTTCATGACTCCGACTCATGACGTCGCCGAGCGTCTCGTCGTACCATACGTACACCCAGAAACCATATCTACCGTCCGCCGCAGCACCTAGCAGCAAACAGTCCATAGTGTACCTTAATGCAATGGGGGTTAAGGTTTCGGTTGCGGACGTTCTGATATCAAATCTATGCGGGAAGAAGAGAAGCAGGTGGGTGGTGGTGGGGGGTTGTGTGTGTGTGAAAACCGTCGGGTGAGGCGTGGTCGTGCCAGACAGGTTGGGCTTGCTGGCACTGCAGCAACTCAGAAGTTTCATGGTGGCTTGAACGTGCTGTTGATTGAACCACTCACTACTGGACAGTGAGGCTTTAACCCTTCCCCCCACATACAAGCAAGGTTAACTCTGCCACAACAGCTTTCTGCCTTCATTGATTGTACGTACAAAAATGTGAAATGGACAACTCAAAGCAAAAGGTCAAACATTATGTGTATGTGAAATTTTCCTGTTGTGCTGGTGAGCTGTTGCTGGGTTGATTAGAGATAAGCAAGCAGGGGTCGATCTTCCTCCCTTTCCCTTTTCCCGCCTAGTTCCGCCCGCGGTGATTGGCGGTGATCCATTTCAATATTCTTGACGTCTACCCGTTATGATGTACCTACTCGAAGCATAACGGTTTTTTTTCCCTCGTGTGCGTACATGTAGGTACACCCCCAGTATCTAGGCCGGTAGCTTGTCATCCACCCAAGCGATTAGTTTAGTCGCGCGCGCCCACGACCAATAGCCACCGCGCAGCAGAAAAAAGAAGTGACCCTGCATGCCGCGGCGAATCGGCAGTGGGCAAGCGCTGTTTCAGGGCCCCCAGTTGCAGTTGCAGTTTGCATGCTCATCTCGGAGCATTATCTCTGCAGCCTCCACGTGCAGGTGCTTCGAGTGATACTTCAGAGAGGCAAGTTGTAGAGTAATCAAGTCACCATGGATCTATCAAGTGTACATTTAGATGTACTTGTCATAGAGGACTTGTATTACTCACCTAGCTATCTATTGGTACGTTGCATTTAGAGTTTTTTCTGGCGTTTTTTTTCCTGCGCTCTGCGCGATCGGGAGAGTGCCAAAACGGCATCATGAGATGTCACTCGGCGTCTTGAAAGCTGCGGAGGAGGCCTTTGGACTTCAACTTTGGGGAGATACAAGTTGCTCTACGGATATCTTGAAATAATATGGTATTTGGGCTTGTGTGTAGATATGGATATATAGACGCCGCTGGTTATTAAAGAATCAATCACAGTAGAGACAGCCTACCCAACCAAGCACGTAGAGTACCAAAAAACACTTCCCTATAAAACAATGGAATCAACCACAACCTACAGTTTGTCTTTACCGTGCTCACGCCTACCCAATCCACCACTAACACTCTCCATCCCACAACCCGGCTTCACCTGGAACCAACTTGACACTTTGCCCCTCGACACTTCACCCTCATACTCACCCCTCACCCACGCACCCCCCTTAAGCTTCCACACAACCACAATCATACCCCCACTTCCCAGCAGCAAAATGTTCGACCCTACCGTGCCCCCAACAAATCTCACCCTGGAGGCCCTCCCCACTGCCATCAGCACCCTCGAGCTCAATACCGCTCACCTCGAGAACGCCCTCTTCACACAGCACGAGGCCCTCACCGCCATAGACGAGACCGCTGCCACCACCGCCGCACTGAAAGAGCGTGCGATTGTAGTCCTTCGCACCCTTGAGAGCGCCGAGGCCAGGACCCAGGAGCTGTGTATGAGGCTGGTCGAGATTGGGCTCAAGCTGGATGAGCTCCCGGATGACGCTGAGGAGGTGATGAGAAGGAGGTTTGTGGTAGTGGATCGCAGCTTGGTGGCGGCGGATGAGATGACTGGGGGGTTGATGGACTGGGCGGATAGGGTCTATCTTGATGCGTATGAGCGCGAGAGGGGGCAGGGGGGTGGGGAGTGGATGGTGCCGGTTGAGGAGGAGGAAGAAGAAGAAGAAGATGAAGATGAAGAAGAAACTGAAGAGGAGGAGGAAGAGGAGGTCGTGACTAGTGATGAGGAGTTTTGAGCTGGCAAGCTGGAAGGGGCTTAGTTAGTAGTACGTGTAGTAATAAAGAAACATGTACCAGTCCGCATTAAGAGTAAGAGTTAACTTTAGTTATAACAAACTTCGCTCTCTTTTTCATGATCACCATCTTTTCCACAATCTAGTCCAATATCATCCACAAGACCCATTAACATTAACAAACATCCCCACAACGCGATTTGCCCAAACATCCTTGCACTGATCATTTTCCAGACACCCTTCACACCAATCCCCTTCCCTGTTCCACCGCGCCGTGACATCCATCTCCACATCACATCGCAGCCATCCATCATCCCAACCTGCGCAACCCAACCCGCCATCATCCCGGCCCGCCCTTCTGCACCATTATGTCACCACGGGAGCTTGTGCGGACAGCAAATAGATCTCGCTTATGTGGCGAATGGGAAGTTCTTCCAGTCTAGCTAGTCGCGGTGGTCATTGGTTTATATATGACGGAGTTGCTAGTCAACATTACCATGCAGTTGTGAAGCAGATATAGTGCCAGCGTGCTGCCCATGGATATTGCCATGAATTTGGCTAGTTCTTTTTGCAAACAGACAACGTTGAGGCGATGGGTTCCGCTGACTTACGTGGAGTTGTGGCAGGCTCGTTCATGGAGTATCACTCGGTTATAGAAAGTATCTTGTTCATGATCAGAGATCAATGAAGGCATCGTAGACGGTCTGTTAAGTTCGTATTATCTGAGATCGTAGCTCTTGGTATGTGTTGTCTTGGTGTGTCTCTATCTAACCATCAGTATCGCCTCTTCTCATCATTATGGGAAGATTGCTTACGGAATTCTCTCCTTTCGCCCGCAACACCGGCCATTAATTGAAGGTCCGATTATGCTTCGTTTCGGGGGGTATCCTATGCCTACATATACACCAAGTTATACAATACGCGATTTAAAGGATATGAGAAGCTTTTCAGATATTGTTCTTAAACCAAAGTAAGAAGGGGTCGAAGAAGATCCCTTTTATAGTCACAGCCACGTTAACGAATAGCCTGTTCTTCTAAAGACCAAAGTAAAACTGTCCAAACAACAACATAATAGTTACAAAGCACATGTATACGTCTAAACAGTATAAACTTCCTCATTGTCATCACGAAGCATTTCTATTGGTTGAAGTATATGGTCTGCATACCACAGATAGAAGCACATATATATGTATGTACAAACAAAGAACTGCTCCCGATATAGGACCCGGTAATACCGGGGAGGGAGCTAGCTGACATCGAAAGGGCAAACACTGGCAGGTAGAATTAATTGCAGATATATATAGTCTTATATATCAACCTTGAACTACCAAATATCCTTTTGTAAACTACATCTTAATATTAAGAAAGAAAAACTGATATAACTACAGGATTCCTCATGTCACATACAGAGATTTTAACTATCCAAACCAGCAATAGATAGCGTAGTGCTTATACAATCAGACTGGACCCGTTTCTATTATTCACCTCGGAATAAACTATGGACTGGACGCACTACATGTCCTAAAGACCTATGCCGGATGATAAGGCAAATCTATCCACAGATGGTGAGGTTGACAACCTCTATTTGTCCACTGTATGTTAATTTGCGGCCGGAGGCCGCATTCCACTTGTAACACACATGCTTGACCGAGTCTAGTCACGTAACCGTCGAATAACCTGCCAAGTTGACATGGGAGCTAATGTCCCCGGCGCCAACTAACGAGTGACGGCCCGTGATTGAACTGGCGAGGGGAGGGGGGAGACTACATGCATGTAACGAACGAGAAGCTAAAAAGAACAAAAAGTCTTGCTGAAGAATGTGCTTTTCAGGGTGGTGAGTGCCATTTATTACACACAACGCCAGTATAGACTCCCACCCCTCGGGGTCGAACCCATGACCTACTGATGGTCATGGGGACTCAACCCGCTCGGTGTCCTCCGTTGACGAGGCGTCTACCATAGACCACGCTCGCCCACACAATTGACAGAGGTCGGGAAGTAATACTTAAGGGAGCGCGAGCTAGGGCGGCAACACCTAACCCTGAAACCACAATCTACTTCCACGACCGACGTACATCATGACCCATGCACTGGCCACCCGTTTGTCCCCTTGAGCTCCCCGGATGATTGGTACTTGTAGCTGTCTATAATAACAACCGTAAACAATAGCTGCTATGGACCATAACTGGCATCTCTTCCACAATAAGCATCTAGAGACAATTCCTCAAATGGCAGCATCGAATCCGTCGCTAACGTGGTCCGCAGTTAATCATAAAATATCACTCGACGCCAAGCAACGAACAAAAAATGGATAATATCCCGTGTGCAGCACCTCGCGCTGGGCCATGCGCTAATCTCTCCCGCGGTATTTTGAGGTTGCCACTGTATTTGATTAGGGCCCATATGGTACATTTGGAAGCCATTCAACCCATAACGTCCCCCAACAGCATAAATTGCAATATCCACCTCACTAGCCCGTGCAGAAGTTTCGACTACTTGGTCAATTCCAGACTTCGGAAGGTTTGGGAATCACCATTCTTACAAAAAATCCAGTTATAGACTACGCCACACCGGCACCCTCTTTACCACCCAAAATGCCGGGGGGAATCTACCTCAACACCTCTGGGTAATTTGGGCGCCAACGCTGACCAAACGACCTCGCTGAGCCATTTAGAAAAAGAGCTCTGGAGTTTACGAGCCGCCACCGTTTGGCCGTGGTTTGTTCTCAATGGTGGTATCGTTGAATGAACCACCGCTGGAAAGCAAGGTTCTTTTGATAAAGAACAGAAGAATGAATAGGAGCTTAAAAGACTTTTGATTGATATTCATCTAGCTACTTGATATCCATGCCACAATGGAAGTCTAGTCTATTTGAGTCCCTCTATCCCACTCTATTTCCCACCCACTCTATGAACCTCCTCAAAAAAGTGCTTCAAGTCCTCTGGGTCCACAAACGGCGTAATCCCTAAATCACACACCCACATTAGCACACCGCACATCTCCCCCCCCCCAAAAAAAAATCCAAAACTCACCATGCCCCAAATTACAAATCCACCCCTTCTTCCCATTTCCAAAGGCAGGCACCGTCCTCTCCACCGCATCCGTAATCGCCTTCCTCCCGCCATACAAAATATTCGGGTCAAAGTTCCCCTGCAGCGTGACCCTGCCGGCGGCCACCTTATACGCCTCCTCGGGATCATGCGTCCAGTCCAAGCCCACAACCTGATACCCGGACACACACAACTTCTCCAACGCATACCACGCACCCTTTGCAAACACCGTCATCGGGACAGGCTCCTGCCCCAGCTCCCTCAGACGCTTCGGCAACCGCTCCGCAATCTCCCTCAAATACGGCAGTGAGAACTCGTCAAAGTCGCGCGGCGACAGCTCGCCCGCCCATGACTCAAACACCTGCACCATCTGCGCGCCGGCCACAACCTGCTGCGCAAGGAACTCGACACACACGTCGGTGATGCGCGCGAGCAGGCGCTTGCTCTCCTCGGGGTACTTGAAGATCCACGTTTTCGCGTGGATGAACATCTTGCTTCCACCGCCCTCAATCATGTAGCTCATGAGCGTCCACGGCGCACCCACGAACCCCAGAAGGGGGACACGGCCACGCAGCTTCTTGCGCGTGAGGGTGATGGCGTCGAATACGTAGCCGAGCTGCTCCTTGACGTCGACAGTTGTGCGGAGCTTTTCGAGGTCGGCGGGGACGCGGAGGGGGTCGGGGAAGTGGGGGCCTTTCTTATCGATCATTTCGACGGTCATGCCGAGGGCCTGGGGGATGACGAGGATGTCGCAGAAGATAATTGCGGCGTCGAGGAGGCCGGCATAGCGCTCGACAGGCTGGAGGGTGATTGTTGATGCGAGCTCGGGGTCGCGGCATACGGCAAAGAAGTCGTTTGTGCCTTTGACTTTGTGGTATTCTGTACGGGGGTGTGATTTGTTAGTGGTGGGCGGAGGGCCGATCGGGGGAGAGGTGGAGGTGCAGACCAGGGAGGTAGCGGCCGGCTGGAGAAGTGAGGGTGTTAGAAGTTCGGCATGTAAATATGAGAGCCTTCCTACACAAACCGCAGTGGAATGGATTGGAGTGCGGGTTCACCTTGACGCATCACCCACATGGGCGGTCTCTCGACCGTCTCGCCTGTTAATTTGGCAATCACATGTCAGCTGACTGGCATCCGTAGAGATTCAATTCCAAAGAAGAGAAATACCTCTGGCGGCGCGGAGCAAGAGATCATTCTGGAGGGGTTCAAAGCTCTCTGACATGTTGTGTGGTGGTGGGAGGGAGTGGTTGATGTTGGTTGATGTGATATTCCGGATGGTGGGGTTGACGTTGTTGCAAAGGGACTCGGGCAAGAAATGCCCCACTGCCTGTCTCGGAACTTGCCGTGCCCGCGACGAGAATCCGGGGAAATCAGATGCCCGCCGAAAACACCTTGAAATGAGTGAATTGCACGGTACAATACCTGTAGTCTGAGAGTGGTAATTTTGACTAAATTTCAGTAAAGAGGTGATATATATTGATGTGATGATAAGTTTCTATGAAGTACATGTACAGTCGCATGCATCAAGTCCTCGCCGCTCACGATGCAACACCCAACCTCAATACTCGTTACTCAACTACAAGTGAAGATATTTAATAGAGAATACATAGTAGAGTTAAATAGAATATAAAGAAAACGGTTTTGAGACTACTATCTAGTATGGCCTCCATTGGCTTTGAGACACGCCTCAACCCTTAATGGTAATTTATCTAGCTTTGATTGAGACAATGCCCCCCACTCCTCTTGTGCAGCGATAAAAGGTTCATCATCACGATGAGGTCTTCTCTGTCTATAACTTCATTGCCTTTTTAGTGCACTCTTGAGCATTTCCCATGAATTCTCTATGGCATTGAAATCTGGTCATCCAGTAGGCCAATCCTCCTCCTGACTGGACAGTTTGTATCTTTATTTATTTGTACAGTATTTCAGCCCATTTTATGGAGAATAACAGCAGCTTGCCACTTGTCATATCTTGAAAATTTTGCAGAGTTCGTGGTGGAGTGGTTATGGTTTGACTCACCGTCAAAAAACGGCGGGAACTTGTTGCATGCGACTGTACAGCGGCGGGTAAAAAGTGATCGGACGCTTGCAAAAGCAATATTACATTTGGCGGTTCGAGGCTGGGTTAAAGGTCGATACATCAACGAAATGGCAACGAATAACAGTATTTGATAAATAGGATGAATATAATGTACATTTAGTAGTGCGTAGAAGCTCCTTTTCTCTTAATACATTCCCTGACCCTCCTAGGCATACTCTCTATCAACCTCTTGAAGTCATCTGGTGTGAAGCGATCCCATTCTTCCTGGAGTGCTTGTATAAGCTGTGGCTTGGTGGTAATGGCCGGGGTTCTTAGGTTTATTCTGTATTTCATTTTCCGCCATAGGTTTTCAATGGGGTTGAGGTCTGGTGACTGGGCAGGCTAAGGTATCCGTTGTATTCTCAAGCGATTTCTAGCTTCCCTAACAACCACAGACCTGTGTATGCTAGCTCCGTCCTCCATAACCATGGCTTCACCATCTGCCCGTCTTGTCTGAATATAAAAGGGATGTAATGCGGGAATCATAACAAGTTTAACATAATCTGGACCCTTTATAGACCCACTCGGTAAGATCACCATAGGTCCCTTAGTACCCAACTTGATCGCACCCCATATCATGACCGATGTCCTACCACTTTTGAAAGAAGGCAGTAGACAATCTGGAAGATCCTCCTCACCAGCTGCTCTCGACACCCAGCAGGTTCCAGCATGAAATCCCACCTCAAACCTCGATTCGTCGGTCCAAATAATATCTCCCCAATCCTCCAAAGTCCAGCTCTTTCTTTCCTTGCACCATTTTAACCTATTAACCATGTGTTGCTTCTTTAGGAAAGGCTTTCTTTTTGCGCGACGTCGGTGGATGCCTGCTTTGGCTAAATATTTCCTAGCAGTCTTTCTAGTAATCGAAGTAGGTAGGAATTTGATAAGCTGATTAAGAACTGTACGTCGGCAACGTCGTGCAATCCAGACTAAGAACCGCTGTTCTCTTAGGCTTAGCTTCTCTGGCCGTCCCTTCCTAGAGGCATTTTTGGTATAGGGGACTAGACTGCCAGGTTTCCGATTGTCTTTATCTCGTTTGACAATTGAATAGCAGGTGCTTTTTGGTACTCCAGTTTTCTCGGCTATTTTGGCAAAAGGATAACCCTCGCCATGTAAGGTGATAATAACTGAGCGCTGAACCTCTGTAGTCTCCGCCCTTTTAGGTTTTGAAATGGGTTTGATGGCGGTCATTTTGGCTGTTTGGGTACTAGAATCCGTTTGCTATTCACTTCTACGCTCCTCACACGAGTACTACTACCATCAACATTGTCTCAGATTTCTCAGCAGTTGATCCAGGCATCCGATCACTTATTACCCGCCGCTGTACATAACTCGATCGAGAGGTTGATTCTTACATGTAAAAGGTCATAAATCATGAGAAGGCAACCAAACCACACCAAAATTCGTCAAAAATTGGTCTAGATGCAACCACCACCCACAACACAATTGCCATCAATAATAAACAAGGCTTTGGGGGATGAAGTATTGGCTATCAAGTTTAATAAATCTAAAAGGGCACTCTCTGAAGTCAAATGTGGAAGAAGTTACATGAGCTAGAAGTAGAGAGACCTGGAGATTTGGGTCTTGGCGCATTTTTCGCAACTCAACGTAACAAAACCAACACAACTCATTCTAGAAGTGTAAGATTGTAATTTTCAGCTGATAGAGCGATCATTCATATACAAAATATATAGTCTTCCAATTCTCAGAAAATACCCATCATAATTGGTGGTTGAGGACCGGGTTGAAAAGTGGCATTTTTGGTGTAAAATGGGCGCCTTCCCATGATTTATGACCTCGCGCTGATGAGAGAAGAGAGAGTAATTTCCACTTCTCGACTTAAATACAGAGCATCTTTAATGACAACTAAGCTAACAATTCTCTATCCACATATTGTTCTCTAGTACCTTCGCCTAGTGATACCTACATTTACTTAACCCGATCGAAGATCGAGACCTTAATTGTAACTTTGTTGACGCTGAAATTTCTGGGGCCGCTCCGAGTCCAGCGCAGTGAGTTGAACGGACACAATAGTGTAGTCGAGAAAGCTGTTCCTGGAGGCCTCCTACCGCTACTGCAATACTGAGCTGTTCGACCCTACACTTACAATATTTGATTTTGTATTTTTGGCCATATGGGCCAAGCTTGCTAACTTGACAATTCGTTCTGTATAATCGCACCCAACCCAAATCGTCCGGCCGATAAACTCAAAGGATTTTATGACCATACACTGGCATAGTTCACATTCTCATGTGCTGGACCAACTTTGGATAGGGCTGCATGCACTTGGATCCACCGGCCAAACCACCCGGCCACACATCACACCCTACCCCGGCCCGGATACCGCATCCAAATTGGAATTACAAACCCTTTACACACAACTTTCTACGATAACCATCGAGCAAGGGGTACGATAAAGCAAAGCCTGCAGCTCGCCCCTAATTCTAGATCTACATACCACCGACCAATGCCTCCTCACTTGATCATGGTTCTACAAACAACGTTTTTTCCCGCCAAGGGGGTGGATTAAGCTTTTAGCGGGTGGGGACAGCTAATGGGTTAAGCTTTTGTTGAAGACCTCCTCGCATGCTCCGCATATTCGCCAGAAGACGCCGGTGCCCGAGAGTTTTGCTTGTGCTCTCTTCTTCATGCAAACTATAGATTTAAAGGAAATTATTTCTCAATCTACACCTAAGATAGGTATTGCTACTGCTGCTGCGTACAGGTAATCAGAACCCTAGGCCTCTCCAGCCAAGAAGCACTGTAAAGGCAGGATTTATGCCCGCAACCCACCAACCACAACGGAAGGCTTAGGATATGCAAATCTGCAGGCTCGATATCTGCGTAAACATCATTACACATGCCCAGATCAGCGCAGCAGACAGGGCAGGGTACCTATTCATAGTGGCAAATGAAAGCCCTCCGCATCACAGCCAATCACTCGATGACCGGGGGGACCGGAAGTGCACCAGTCCATATCTCCACAGTATCGTGTCCATCTCCTGTCCACTCTACCTCAGGCTGAGCATGGGTCTTCCGGAGCCTTGGGTGTCAATGTTTATCTGACACGCCATGCCATCACGGCGGGGAGGGGGCGCTTGGACACTGACGTATATAGGTGGTCCGTGATCATGATTGGGGGATTGCATAGTACGTCCTCTGCTAGAGGCCACTTCAAGGAAGTAGAAAGAAGCCATAAAAATTTCCGAAGAGATGAAGCCAGACTGCCTCTCATGCCTAGCATGCCTACATAGCACCCAAGGCAACAAAAACGCTCACTCGCCCCCACCAGTGGAGTAGGTGTCCCGTCTGTATGCAGTTAGAGCAAAAAAAGGAAACATTGTTTCCTGAAAAGCCCATCCGCCCAAAAAGCCCCTATCCCAGAATCCCAAAGAAGCCCGCAGGAAGCCAATCATAGCAATGCCGTGGCTGGAAGGTTTCTCGGGATGTCCACTGACTGGAGAAGGGGAGAGAAAGAAAAAAGGAACGTCTCGGCGCGCGCGTCGGGGCCCGTGCGCGTATCAAAAAAAAGTAAAGAATCGGGGCCGGAATCTCCTTTCCTTCCTTACATATACTTTCTTTTGCTTGTTGCTGCTTGCTCTGCTTGTTCATCTCATCGCAGCAAAGCAAAAAGGGGATGAGTAGATGGTATGCATGTAGGTTACGATGGCATGATGCGTACGTTAGGCGGGCTTTCAGGACGTTGAAGCATGTAGACTCCCGGGCAGACAGCTGTTAATTTCTTCTTCTTTCATTCGTGAGCTAGGACAGCTGTAGCTGGTTTGTGAGAACACCAGTTGCGTCTGTCTAACCCAGACATACATAGAAGGCCTGCGTAGGCAGGAGAAGGAGGAGAGAGCGGAAAGGAAGGCAAGTTTAGGGCGGAAGTGGGTTAGCGGAAGCTTTCCCCCCTGCGTTGTTTTTCGGGGTTTCTTGGCAATTGGGGAGGACTTGCAAGTTGCGAATTGGGTTGGGGGGAACTAAAATGCTAGCTGTGGACCCTGAACTGGGAATGGGGCGAGCGAGCGAGTGATAGTTCCGTTCGTGACTTTCCCACCTCTTCCTCCTCCTCCCTCTTCTCCCTTTCTGTCTGGGCTTTCCTGCACCTGGGGGCAAAGTGCATACGACTACCACGAAGTGACGAAGGAACGAGTGATAGCGCGAGATACCAGTCTGCCTCTCGTTCTGTCTGTCTATCCGCCTTCATATTCGAATGAGGACTGAATAGCTGACCTGATATATACGCCACTGGCTTCATTTTGGTCCTGTCCAATAAACGGCCTAGTTGCACAGGAAATCAATTGCATTTCCTGCCAGGCACGTTCTGTTGCATATACAGTAGCATCATCGATTAACTCTCCTTGCCTGCCTCACAACAGACAGACATATAGGTCTCTCTTCTCTGCTGGACATATCATTACAAGGATCACAGCCTGCCAGGATATCAATCCGGGCGGCGGAAAAGGAAAGCATCATCACGAACGAAACCCGGCCCAGCCCTTTCTCACCCTTTCATCGTCATCCAATAACGCACTCACCCAACTGCACCTACCACCACCGCCGTCCCTTCATTCCCAGAAGCGTCCACACCCTCTCATCACAACCTAACGGTACCTACCTCACCCTAGGGACCAACTTGGACAGTGAGCCACAGCAACCCTGCCCCTAACTGCCTGCCACTCTCCCGTTTCCGTCAAATCCCCAAGAAGGAGGCACACCCCCTCCCCTCCCCCCCATCTCATCATATAGGCCAGTACAAATGTCGACCCCCTCTACGCCATCTACGAAAAACCGCATCGGCCTCGGCCTCAACCGTCCACGTCCCTCACACCTCAACACGCCGTTCGCGAACGCTTCAGCAAACACCTTTTACAACAACAATAACAACAGTAGCAACAACAACAGCGGCCTGCCGCCCGCTCCAAGTTATACAAGCCAGTCCTCCAACGGGCCCCTGCTGTCGCCAAGTACTATGCTGGCCCGGAAGGCCTCGCTGAACCAGTTGACACAGAACTCTTTAGCATCGATACCAGACGGGACCATGGGGTACGGGCTTGGCCTAGGAAGTCCTACGAGAAGCATGTCGAGGGGTGGTGATGATGGCCTGAGAGCGCGAGGGAGAGGAACACCGGTTGCGGGGGTTGACGTCGATGTTGGGGATCAGGTCAACACCCCCGGAGGCATGCATGGGACGGTGAAGTTCATTGGGACCGTCAAGGGGAAGGCGGGTGTGTTTGTGGGTGTGGAGTTGGACCCTGATATGGCAGGTCGGGGGAAGAACGACGGTGCAGTCGACGGGTTCGTTTTTTCCCACAACTCTTTATATTATTATTTTTCTTCCTTTTTTTTTTTTTGGGCACCCATATAACACAGGGGTTTTATTACACTATTACTGTGTGCTTTTATCTCTTACCTTTTACCCTCTCCCCTTCTTTTCTTTTCGCGGTAGCTCAATGTTGCATTTTTGGTGATGGGGATTATCGTGACTAACAGCACCGCTCCCGGGGAATTAGTGTACGTTACTTCACCACCGCACACCCAAACTCGGGGATCTTTGTGCCACTCGCGCGCGCACAGAAGCGAAACTCCGCGTCCTCCTCGAATCCCCCACCAACACCAACACTCCTCGGGCTCAACTCCCCTACCGGGACCTCCGCGCTTTCACCACCTAGCTACCCTACTCCCCGGCGCGCCGAGTCACCTTTCGGCTACAACAATAACAACGGCGCCCGAAGCGGCATCGGCCTCGCGCCCTCATCCCGCCCATCTCTACCGCGACCGGAAAGCCCTGTCCGCAAAACCACACCCGCTCCCGCCGCACGAGGCCTGCAACCTCCGGGAACGCCACGAAATGTCTCTTCGGCCATGGGAGGGAGATTTGGGGGCCCAAGTCAGATGTCGGGAAAGATAAACTACGGTAGACCGAGGGCAAGCAGTATCGCTTCTACAGTAAACGGTGGGCCGGCACATCCGGAGCGTCCTGGAACTGCCACTGGATTCTCTGGCCCTACTCCCAGGATCTCACACACGCCGAAGCACTCGGGTTCGTCACTGGGCCTGAAGCAGCCAAAGAATTCGGGACAGAGCGGGCTGCGGAGTGGATCATCAATGGGAATGCGCTCCATCAGTTCATTAGGGCAACACCCGGAGAGGCAGCAGCAGGAAGGTTTACAAGAGGAGACTTCGCAGGGCGATTCGGGAATTGGGCTAGTTCACGCGGAGGAAAACGAGTACGATAATGCCAGCGGAGGCGTAAGCAATGGGTCTACATCGGCGCTGGAGGATCAACTAGCCCAAAGGGATCGACAGCTGCAGGAGCAGGCTGCGCAGCTCCTTGAAATGGAGGCGTCATTCTCAGAGCTGCAAACATTAATCCAAAGTGCGCAGGTACAACCGCCGCCAGTAACATCTCCGATATCCATACGGAGCGGTGCTTTCGACGATGCAGATGCAACACAGCTACGGGCGTTACTGAGGGAGAAGACAGAGAGGATCCAGGTTCTTACTGCCGAGTTCGACGCACATCGTGCTGACTTTAGAAGTACGATCGATACCCTGGAGCTTGCCTCTACCGAGACAGAGCGTGTATACGAGATCAAAGTTCAAGAACTCATGAACGAGATCCGGGAGCTACAAGAGCGAACTGAGGATGTTGAGAGTGTCGCCCGTCAACTCAAGCAGCTTGAAGAATTGGTAGCAGAGCTTGAAGAGGGTCTCGAAGACGCACGCAGAGGTGAAGCAGAAGCCCGCGGCGAAGTAGAATTCCTTCGTGGTGAAGTAGAACGCTGCCGCGAGGAGCTCCGCCGCGAGAAGGAGAAGAGCGCTGCTGCGGTAGCGAACGCTGCCGTAGGGAAGCTTATGCGTCCCGGCTCCGTTGATAGCGAGGTCGAGAAGAAGGACGATGAGATCCGCGGGCTGAAGGCAATAATCCACTCGCTTTCGAGGGACGCTGTTCCGGCTGAAGATGGAAGCCATGCCGTACACCTGGGGGCTCTCCGCCGTGTCAATGGTGAAATTGGCGACGGGGATGAACTGACAATGGAGCGCAACACCCGCGAGAAATTGGAGCGTGAGGTCAATGAACTCCAGGGCCTGATTGACCGCAAGGCCTCCCGTGAGGACGAACTTGAAAAGGAGATTGAGTTCCTGCGGAAACGCAAGGAGACCCGCGCGTCCGGTGCTTCGGGCTCCATCTCGGAGAAGACAGCACCAGGCATCGTCGGCTCGTGGGGCCGCAACTCTGGAGAGCGCCATAGACCATCATTCTCCGCTGCAGACACCGAGACTGCTACTACCACCACTGCCAGCGAACGGGAATCACGCGGAACCGTCGGCAGCTGGCGAAGGGCCAGACAAAGCAGCGCAAGCAGCATGGCTGGTGCCGAAAAGGAGGAGTCCGTTCCTGCAGCTGTTGTCAGCAGTGGCGCGCTTGCACCCATTACTGCCGAGGGCTCCGATGCGGAGGCAATGTGGTGCGAGATCTGCGAGACCGCGGGCCACGATATTCTTACTTGCACCAACATGTTCGGCTCCGCTGCTGGCGGCCCTGCGTCTGCGGGCCCTGAAGGCGAGAAGCCACTCCCAACCCCACCAACAATCCACGCTAAAGAAATTGTCGACGACGATGACGAGACCAAGACCATCGCCTCCGATAGCGACCACATCGAGCCGCCTCTCAACATCAACGGCAACGGCGTATCGCCCGGCTCCGCATCCTTCATGGAAGAGGAGGAGCGACGACGGATCGGCGGTCAAGAGCGGAAGAAGAGCGTGCACCTCCCTGCACCGCCACCAATGGTCAGCGTTGATAGCAGCTTTGGCCCCGTTGCTGGGAAGGAGAGCGGCGTGGTGGAGTTGGATAAATGGTGCGCCATGTGCGAGAGGGACGGCCACGACAGCGTCGATTGCCCGTTGGATATGGATTATTAGATGAGGGAATGGCTTAATGATTAGCTTGCTTTCATTCCTTTTCTTTCTCGTCTTCTTCTTCTACTGATGCATTGATTTAACGTACGCGCGGGCGGGCGGACTGGCGGGGCTAGGGGCGGCAAGGCTTGAAGGGGTGGGAAATCGAATCGAATTGAATTAAGCATTTTGACATTGGGAGTTTTTTACGTTTTTTCTTTTTTCTTTTTTTTCTTCTTTTTCCTTTTATATATTCTAGTCTTTTTCTCTTCTTTCTTTTCTTTTCCTTTCTTTCTCTCCTTATTCCCTACGTCTTTATTGGGTCTCATAAAGTCTCGTATCGGTGCCCTATTTCCTCTCCCCCTCTCTTTCGAGGAGGGGAGACAGATTAGTTATGGTTCTGTGTGTTTTTAATTTTTTTCATGGGGTGGTGGTGGTTATTATCTTCTTTCCCCTCTTCTTATTTCGGGAGTGGATTATGATTTCTCCTCCAGGGATGAGGAGGGAGGAATGAGGGGGATGAATGAGGGATGATGTGTCCAGGCGGGATCGAATAGAAATGTGTACTGTATGTGTATCGGAAATAATGAGCTAGGAGCGGTGGGGAAATTAAAATGGAGTAAAATAGACTGTTGCATAGAGTGTTGAGTGCTGAGTGTTCGTTCGATGTGGAGTGTCGAGTGTTGTGGTGGGTGTCGAGTGTTGGTGAAGTCATAGACAGTCACTCGGTGGGCGTCAAACTAGGTTAAGTTAGAGCATCATAGGGCATCACTCGGCTGATGGCAAAAGAACAGCGCAACCCGTGAATTCGGGACGTGATGTCTCATCGGAGTGCTGAAATCAGTATATATAACAGGCGGCCCGGTCTGTCGGAACCTATACATACTTTGGCCTAGATCTGTTTTATACTTCAACTGCATACAGCCGGGCGGGCGGGTGCATAGCTTTATGGGTGGATGTATGTATTTACAAAACCGTGCTCATCACGACTCAGCACTCCTAGGAGGTTATTTACATCCGGTCCAGGCGACATTACCCTCCCCCCCCCCCCCCCCAAAAAAAAAACCTCCGTAACCTGCAGGTCAACTCAGAAACAACTACCACGCGAGCACGCCGGGCACAATGGGCGAGACAGTGCGAACCACACTGTCCCCCAATTATCTCGTATATATGGATACAAAACATCATGAAGCTCTTTTGTGTTATGAATTTTTTGTGCATACGATGGGATTTTCCACTGGAGATGTAAAGACAGATTATAAGACTACCGATAGCAATAGTTAGCAACACTGTGTCCATAGCTAGAAAGAACACTCAGACTGTACAAGTAGAACAGATATACCAGACTAGGCAGTATATCTTCGCAGTTGGGAGACTCTTTTTGTCTCACCAATTAAGTCTTCTACATCACATTAAGCGTGACTTTCAGCTCAGGGGAGGACACGGGTTTGGACGCCCAGATATGGTTTAATGCGACTGATTCTCTTCATCGACGACACTATTCTCGACCTGTTCTTTTCACACTCTTATTATAACAACTAGAGACCATTGGTTTAAAGTATCTGCGCCTGCCTTGATGACGAGGGAAGTGGGCGAGTACATAACTGGGACCTGACAGGACATGCCACACCGATCATTACCCCTCGCCAAACCATTCTTGGCACACTAACTCTGCCAAGACCAGTCTGTTCCTGGGGCTCAAAAAAAGTTTTTCCTTCCGCTCTCTCCAAACACCAACACCCAACATCTCCATCCTCAACCTCAACCTCAACATCAGCAAAACCACCATCGCATTGCTCGAAATCATCACCACACCTAACAAACAATCTGTAAGTTCTCACACCCTCTTCCTCCCCCTCGCTCCCTCGTCCACCAAAAGAAAAGAGAGGGGGAAAAAACATACCATGATGAGTATCTCCCAAGAATGAAAGGAAGAGCCGTATGAGTCCCCCACAACATATAAACCGGACCATCCATCTTCACCCATTAGCGCCCTGCCCGACCTTCTTGGGAAATGTATGATCGGTTTGACTTTCTTCGTTCCTGGGGGGGTTATGGTGCGGCGTGGGTGTTGTGTGGGGAAGTCTCGTTGTGGGGGGCGGTGCTTAGAACATTGGGTACTGAGATGTGTTTTGGAATCCTTCTCTCTTTTCCTTGGTGCAGGAGGAGCGGGCTTCAATTGAGTTTTGTGAGAGGATTAACGCTGACTTTTTTCGTCTGTGGATAGATAGGATTCAGGATATCTTTGCATTGTGGGTGCGCAATGGATTTGTGCATCATACCACGAGCCCGGCATATGGTCTATGGTCATGGGCTCGAAATACTTATTCTAGCAGAAGATCAAATAGTAATAAATGGAATCAATAAATCTCTCCATTCGTTCACTGAACCTACCAAGTCAAAAACTTAAACTTTGTGTGACCGTCATGAGACATAACTCCTTTTTTCTTTTCTTCTTTCCTTCGTATTATACTATCTTTTTACTACAGGGCCTGATTACCGGGCCGTTAGGGAAAGTGATACTGAGCGCACATGATTTGACTCCATCCAGTTTATTGTCTTGCAATTATATAGCCATTAAACAATCCATGGATTAGAAATAGAAAGCACGAAAAGAAAAATGCAATAGAGAAAATAGAAACACATGATGCACACCACACAAACACACGAACAATTTCAAAGCAATAGCAAATGATCGAAAACAAGTGAGACATGAAGATTCTTCGCGCTACACCAAGTGAAAATAAAACACAAGAAACAAAACGAAATTCAAACCATTCCCTCCGCCTTCCCACCTCTTCAAATTAATGCATCGAATTGTAGAGTAATGGAAATAAAAAAAAAAATTAAAAAAAAAAAAAAAGATCCACCACATATTTCCATCACATTTCCCGTACTCTCACAGGATTATCGGAGCGATACGACCTAAGCTACTAAAGTATGCTAACTTGAAAGAAAACCCAATCATTTAGCACTACAAACAATTAGGCATATTCGCCTTCCCCCTCCCAGTTGAAATTTAGTTTTTAGCTACCGCACCGTGCCTTTACCGTATAGATAATAACAATAACCCCGGCCCCAAATTTAATTCCATCCGACCTGTTGAAATCAAAGCAAAGCAAAAATACAAAAAAAAAAAGAACACCACACGCTGTAAAATACGCAAGGAAAACAAAAGTGAAGAACTCTGATACGCAGCTTGTAGAGGGTAGATTATTGAACAAATGAAAATGAAAATGAAGGAACACTAACAAACCCAGATTTGAGCTTTGGACGATAATTTGTAAAGGAATGAAAGAAAAAAAAAACTGAAAGATATTAGAGAACCGAACCGAAACACCTTTCATTCAAACATTGGCCCCACTCTGATCCAAAATTACTGCCTCACGAACCCGTTCCCCTGTACATTACCATATTGCTGCTGCCCATACGCTTGTTGCTGGTTGTAGAACTGCTGATACTGCTGTTGTTGCAATAATGTTTGACTTTGCGATGTATACGCATTTTGAGGAAAATAGCCTGCTGCACCTTCGTATGCGCCGTAACTGCTCATTCTCGGACTTGGGGATTTGGCTTTCTCCCTTAACAAAGCTTGCTGCTGTTGCTGTTGAAGCTTCTGTTGCTGAAGTTGAAGCTGTTGCTGTTGAAGCTGTTGCTGCTGGAGTTGTTGTTGCTGGAGCTGTTGCTGCTGGAGCTGTTGCTGCTGGAGCTGTTGCTGCTGGAGCTGTTGCTGCTTGAGCTGTTGTCGTTGGGCAATGGCTTGTTGAACTGTTGCGCTGTTTCCATTACCAGACCATGAACCCTTCATGAGTTTCTTCTCCTTCTCTCTTGTCTCAATTGCGCCAAGAAGACCAGTCTGGTGAGGTGGTTGTTTTTTGCCTTTACCATTGTCTAGATGGAGGAGAGTTGACCCCGTTTGCTTTGCAACATATTCCTGTTCGCGTGCAGAAAGATGTGCGGACAAGTCAGCAGCAGATGAAACCAGACCGTTCGGGATGAAGGCTGAACTGTGTCTTTGTAATGTGGGGAGCAATTCACTAGATATGTTGCGGCTTCCTGGTGAGGGGGTGCCGGAAGCTTTTCGCTGATGAATATAACGACTCCTTGATTGTTGTTGCACCGCAGCAGCAGTAGCTTTATCAGATACGTATTGCTCTGCTGCTCGATCCGGAGATCTTTGTCCCCCAGCAACTGGAACCATTCCGGGTTGCCAGACCATGCTCCGTCTTTTTGATTCGCCGCTCTCAGAACTGTGAGGCTCGTTTCCGGAGTCCGGGGAAGGCCTGTTCCAAGAATCACGTTTTTCGCTACCAGCAGAAGACCTGGAAGATTCACGGTTGTGTTCGGACCAATCCACATTCAACGCTTGGAAGGAGTCCCTACGGTTCCCGCCCAACATAGTACCGTGCTGAGAAGCAAGACCTGACGCGATAGTAGCATCCGGTTCCATGAACTGTCCATTTCCCCTACCAATACCTCTACTCTCCGCACTCAAACTACGCCCGTGGTTTATCGTCGTCCCAAAATCAACTTTGGGAATATCAGCAGCCAACGCTTTTCGCTCCGCAGCAGTTGATTTGTAATACACGTCACCCACCACAACCTCCGGTTCAATGGTCGTCCCCACAACTTTCTTTACTCCCGCTCTTGGCATGTCTGCATCTCTTTTTGGTGGTTCCTCCCTCGTGTGTACGCTCGAATAATCAGGTTCGTCTTCTTCCTCACTCCCATACTCACTTCCGCTATTCTCGGCATTCTCACTCAACATCTGCTGCAATCTACTGGCTCTTCGTCGATCAAAAGTATCCTCCTCCTGATAAGTAACATCATCGCTATCTCTTCCAATTTTGTCAAGCGCCTCTTGACTCATTAGATGCCTCGCAAGGCTTTCGATACTGTCTGTTGTCTTTGGCGTATCGTCAGCAGAGGCTGTGCCGTTAGTCGGCTTTCTAGAGATGTTCTGGGTTTGGAGACTCGGAATCTGGTGAGCGTTAGGTGACCTGTGCGGAACTTGGGTAGGAATATGCGGTGACGGTGATTCCAGACCTTCCATAACGGTGTAGGGGACTACCTTTACTGGTTGGATAAGGGTACCTCCAGGTGTGTCCTGCCATGAGAATCTAGGACGACGTCCCTCCGGAACACCAATATCCAACTGACCACTTCCCTGTTGCTGCTGTTGTTCCTGCTGTTGGTATTGGCGATGCACTTGCTGAAATGACTGCTGTGGAGGGGGAGGCTGCCTAATAGTGCCGTAGCCTTCCTCGTACGCAACCTTCGAATCGCCCATTGGTGGGGGCCCGGAAATTAAAACTTGCGAGTTCTGAATTTCAAACCCTGGTGGGGGCTCAAGGCTTCGATATCCAAGTGAGCTCTGCTCAGTGATTTGCGAGTTCTGGCTAGGTAATAGGTGCGGTGGGCTTGAGGGAGGCGAGATAGAACCCCCTGTCTCTTTCAAGAATGCTGCTGCTGCTGCTGAAGTTCCCATTTCATTTAGTGTATTATTAGAAATCCGTCTCTGTATTTGTGGAGCCTGCTGAGGCGACTGGGGCAGTTGGTTTGGTCTCGAGCTTGGAGGATGAGTCATTGTTGGCGTTGCTGGAACTTCCGAAAAGGCCGGTTGTTCCGTCTGTTGCTGAAGACGACGTGCAGCAGGATCAATGGGACGACCTTGGAATAAGCTAGAATCAGAAGATCCAGAATCACTTCGAGCTAAACCTTGACCCTGTTGGGAATCATGCTGGGCCTCTGCCATAGAATAAAGTGAAGGGGAAGCCCTCTGTTGCTTCTGATACTGCATGTACCCTGTCGACTCAGATGTTGAACGTTGATGATAATTGTTCGAGGGCAATGGTGGAGTATTCAACGGAACATGCTGTGGTGGAAGTTGAGATGCTGGAATGGGTAGAGAAGAGCTTGATCTCTGAGAGTCGCCATCGAAAGTTCCACCGGGGAACCTTTGTCCAGCTGGAAGACTGGTTCTAGGCCTTGCGGTCCTTGATTCGTTTTTCATCTTCTCGTAAGTTGCGTTCTTCAACTTAGCTCTCCACTCCGCCTCAGTGTTGATAGCAGTCCCTTCGGAGACAATTAATGACATGATATCTGCCACTTCCAGATACCCATATTGTCGTTCCCTGGGCATTGCAAACATCAAGCTCTTTACGTCATTGATATCTGGAACCAACCTATTTGGGCGTCCATAAAGTGCAAAGGTATCAAACGTGGGGAACAGCCACTTCAGCATCATTTCAAACCCACTGACAGCCGGGTGCACCTCTGGCATCACAAACACAAATCCCTCACTCGTTGTTGGTGGGTCTGAATTAATGGTGATCTTGCCCTCTATCTTGACAAGGGTGCTCTGATCTATCAGCGGCTTGCTCTGGGGATAAATAGCGTACGCTGAAAAGGCATCCGTAATTGTCGCTATTGGCTGCGATTTCTTGCTCTTCTTATTTTCATAAAACTTGATATCTCCCTTGAGGATAGGAATAGAAGTATATCCTGTTTTCTGGGCCTTTTTCAAGAGCGCCTTCTGCTTCTTGACTTGCTTTTCGTCTGGAGGCGTGATTACTGCCCAACATCGACGCCATGGTGTACCGGCGCCGAATCGCACTCTTGCCCAATCCTCATACTTGAAGCGAGTCTTCTCGATTATCGTGTTGATACCGTTGAGTGTCTTACCCTTTCCGGCGATCAATGCGCCAGTGTAGGCTTCCTGGAGAGAAGAGTGCTCAAACATACACAGCCTGATACCGGCAGTCCATTGCGTGAGTGAATGGTGGGAATTAAAATGAAAAAGGTATCGGTTTCGCCCAGCAGTGGAAATACTAAGGACATTAGTGAGCGGAGGAACATCTGATGATCGAGTTGGAAGTGTATCAATCTATATGCCATCAGTCAATGATTCTTTGGATAAACATATGCAAACTAGAGAAAGCGCCTGAGACACTTTAGATCTACCAGTGCCTTGGCGTTCCCCAGCTTGCATAGACGGGAAATGCCATATCCCTACCATCTTAATCGATGCATCTGTGAGGTTCAAAAATGTTGGCACAACCTCCTCCCCCGGCTTTGCCGCATCTAATTCCGCCGCATCCCATAACGATAACACGGTCCCTACCAGCTGCGCGAAGCACTCCTGCCAATTTCTGTCATGACTTGGCTTCCCATCTACCCCGATTCCGTTAGCTTCATCTTGCACGCCTCTACCGCCGCAGCAGTGCCGTATAACCTCATCCTGCCGCGCCGATCGCAGGGAAAAACATACCAGGATTTAAATCGTTCAATTTCAAGAAATACCCCTCCGTGTATAGCTTCTTGCTATGGCTATTTAGAAACGTAAATATTGGCTGCAGCTCTGGTAAAGTATCCCGCTCCACCTCTAGTAGCGGTGGTTGGTATGGCTGCACGATACTCATAGGTCTCGAGGACGGCCTGCTCGTTCTGCTTTGCGGGGGGTGCGGGCTGTCTCGCGATGGAGATGCGATGTGCGCTTCGGTAATCGAGGTAAAGGTATCGCGACGTAATCGACCTTTAGGTTCCTCGCTTGGTGATTTTGAAGTGAGAAGATTCGTGAAAGACGCGGACCAGGCTGCGGTTTTGTTCGTTGTCAGTTTTTTAACATTCTTAAAGATTCGCTCTATTTTGAGGAACATTAATGGCCAGCGGCTACTGGCAGTTGGGTTATTTTTAGAAGGACCTTGGGAGGGTCGCAACTCACAGCGGGAACGAGTCATTATGACAGATTTGAAAAAACAAAGTTATTATCGAGCTGTTGCACAATATTAAGAAGGTAGCTAGCACTCTCGGACAACGTTTTCGCAAACAATGTCTGATTGAACTGAGAGTTGAGTAGCAGAGTAGAGTAGTGTCCAGGAACGAAAGAAAGAATACTGGATTTCTCTGAATGAAAGGGTGTAGGCCCGTAGTGTAGGTGAGATCCGGGTCCGGTCAGATTATTGTACCTGGCTGGCTGGTTGGGGCTGAATGGGTGACACTTGCTTGTTGGTGGGGGGAGCCAGGCGAGAGAATCAAGAATGACGAGTGATTAACAGTAAAATAATTATTGATATCCTACCCAGATTGCATAGAGGTAGCCACGAGAGAGGTGCAGGCAGGAGTAGAAAGAGGCTGAGAATATGAAACGACGCGCCTTCAATCCTACTTCCTACAGAATGAAGAAGAGAAGAAGTGCAAACGGGAATCAAGGGCGGAAACCAGGAACGAGGGGTGTAAGTAGTAGAATGGGACGATGACAGAAGCAGGCAAATCAAGAAAAGATAACCTGACACGGGATGATTGAGCAGCAGGCAGCAAGAGCGACAGTGGATGGAGAACGAGAGAACAGCGCCGCGAGACAGTTGATGCAGTCAGTGGACGGATGTCCCGGAGCAAAACGAGGGAACAAGAGATCGTTAGGTTCGAGCGGCTGGTGTTTGGGAAGAATCCGGACTGGCCCCTGGTCCGAGGGAGAGAAAATGAAAATGATGCCCAAGTTGTAAAGTATATTGATACAGCCTAACTTATCTAGATGCAGAAGGAAACAACTACATCTCTACCAGCTCCTTCCTACTCTACCCAGACGACACCCCATCCCCCTTCGTATTGTACATATGTGTGTAATGTGTGCAGATGTAGCTTACCCATACCCATCTCTACCTCTATCTCCCCACTTTCTTCGTGCCGTGCGAGCCTCCCCCTGGACTCCGGGGTTCCTGGGAGGTACAAAGTACCACAAACTGTCTACATACCCACATACGAGTCGAGGTTACTTGTAGGTACTGCACGTCTAAAGTGCGCCAATTGGCTGGCGCATCTTCCACTTGAGGCATAGTGGGCTGGTAGCTAAGATAACTCTACGCGTCTTTCTTGGGGATGTAGGTACCTACATTCTAAGCAGTCGCAGCTTCCACGATACAAGACATAATCCAAGGCGGTCACGTAAGAAGAGTAAGACCCTGAGGAATTTCAGCAATACCTACTTGTATTCCAGCTTACTCCCTGGGCTGGTATTTTACCAAGCCAAGGTCATATCAAGGATTTCCAATCAGATTGCAGAACGAATAAACTTTGAGGTAACGCGGGACTTCAAGATCCCGTCTTAATATGACCGCGTAATGGCTATTTTCAGCAGCCAACTACCACCAGCAGCATGTCATTCAGGATCCCCGTCGAAAATCGAAGCCACTTTGAGCCATCGCGCAGCAAAACCTCCGCACCCACTCCTTCACTCATCACATCACATCATCCATCCGTACCCAAGCTTTTTATCAGTTTTGTCCAGGCTCGTCAAGTAACTGGACATTCATCAAAGGTGGTAAAGACAATAAGCTGTATGCGGCTACGCAATTCTTGCCCAAGGCTATGGCTAGTCCCTTGAGAGAATGCTCGAGACAGGCATGAGCAGAAGAAACAATGATCTGGACACAGTATGCATGCGTGTAGGCGAATCAGTATTTGTAACTGCCTAGGTGCCGAGAGCAGCACTGGCACAACACAGCGGAAAAAACCATTCCGTATTTTCCGTAAGCTTCCGTGTACGATTCGTTTGCGGTATGTATGTTGAGAGTATGTACCTACATCACATAAAGAAGTGTGTAGCATAATAAGAACCAGGTCTGTTTACGATAGGTAATCATATTTTTCCACGCTCCGACGAGAAATGCAAGGCCGAATATCAATTTTACTGCGTATGTAGAGTACTTGGCTGTTAAGCTGAGTGTATCTGTATTTCTGCCCAATGCTCGACATATGAGGCATATCGATGCCTACTTTTGCTTAGCATTACACCGGGGCGCCCGTATCAGATTCTGTGATGGTCCTTTCTTGAGCTTGAGAGGTACCGACACGTATTGAAGCTGGAGTAACTTCCTCAGACAAGACAGGGTTGAGATGGATATCACGGAGCCTTCTAGGTGTTCACTGCACGCCATTTGCAACAGGCTGTTCGTGTTCACCCTATTCGGTGGTTTCATAGCACAGGCTAGGCGAAGCGGTTGAGCCGAACCGAAAAAAGATTATTCCCGGCGAACAGACGGCGCTATCGGGATGTGAAAACGGTGGGATAATTGAGTTGATCAAAGCGTTACACCCTTCAAGATCCAGAGCTTCGGGAAGATCCTGCTTCTGGAAAATCTGGAAATATACATAGATAATTCTTTCGAGGATAAGGAAGATGATAATGATGGACCGATGATGCAAGCTGCCCGAGGCTTGAGACTGCATTCTAACGTTTCTTTTCCTGAGCTCAGCTCGTCGTGCATGGATCGCCAAGGAGGCCAATATTACTGTACATCGAGTTGAAATCCAGGCTTTTTTGTTTTTCGTGCAGGCAGGCAGTGGGAAGGGCTAGGGCAAACAAAGACAAGCGAACCATTGGGTGAAAGCGAGCAGGGAAGGCAAGGGCAGGCGAAGTCGAGGCTCAGCTTTAAGGAAACTATTTTTTTTCCTTGGGAGATGCCCCACGGCACCCATAATTCTACGCTTGTCCCAACGCGAACTTCCCCCCAACACAAAAGAAAAATCTTTCTCTCAGCTTTTTGAGGATCTGTGGACCTACCTCTCGCCTTCCCCACCTTCACGCCCCCTGGCCTAAACATTTTTGTCTATCGAGTCTCCCTATCCCATCCTAAACCTAGTGCAAACACTCAAACAACTACCTACCCTCAACTCAAACAAGTGAACATCTCCCGTGTCCTGCATCACGAGATCTAGGAGATCATTCATCTCTCTTATTACTTGCAACTTCCGCTCCTCCGTCGACACCCCAGTTATTACATTTCTTCCTTTCTTTCTTCTTCCATCCTTCTTCGAAGATACCGTTTCTGGAAAAGCCAGTCATGCGAATTCCCTCTACCTCATCTCTGTCAATCACAACAAACACCCTCACCTCCCTAACAGGAAGACTGCTTCCGAAGCCAGTACTCAGGGCATCTCATCTTTCACATATCAGCAGAGCATCAGTTGGGTCTCTGGTACAGAGAAATCACCTCCAAACACTCACCGCCCCTATCTCAACGGCTACCTCATCAACTAGCTCATCTACAGTCACCCCATCAAATAAACAACATGTCCCGGCATTAATACCTCGCTCTCGTTCTGCGCAGCAGAACATCTTTCATCCCTCATTCTCTTTATTTGCCAAACGCCCGCCGAGGCCTTTCCCGATCCCGTTCAACTCACCCCCGGCATCTTCATTCCCGGACTCATTAAGTCCTAGTCTCGCCCGAGTTCCTCGCTCTGAAGGAGCTTCCTATCTCCGTGGAATCACCAACGGCGACGATGCAATAGTTTACGCACGTTCCTACCTAGGTGTGGCGGATGGTGTCGGTGCTTGGAATACGAGGTCTGCCGGGCATGCAGCCTTGTGGTCACGATTAATGCTTCACTTCTTTGCGTTAGAGGTTGAAGGTGCTCCAGGCGTCGTTGACCCAGTTCACTGTCTTACAAAGGCATACCACTCAACTTTACATGCAACCACCGAGTCTACCAGCTCAGTATGGCAAGGAACCACCACAGCATGTGTTGGTACACTCACTGGGAATACTTTCACGATTGCCAACATTGGAGACTCTCGCTGCTGGATCTACCGTCCATCTGCTGGCGACTTTGTCCTAAAAACAACAGAGCAGTGGCATTGGTTTGACTGCCCGAAGCAGCTAGGAACCAACTCTCCCGATACACCCGCTACTGATGCAGATGTCCAGAGCATCGAACTTGAAGATGGCGACATGGTTATCATGGCCAGTGACGGACTTCCAGACAATCTCTGGGATCATGAGATCCTTACTATCTGTGAAGAAAACGCCGGCTCAACTGGTCCGGAGATAGCAGAACAACTAGTTAGGGCGGCGAAGAAAGTCGCGATTGACCCATTTGGCGAGAGCCCTTACATGGAACGGGCCGTTGATGAGGGGTTGCCAGTTGAAGGAGGGAAATGGGATGATATTAGTGTTCTTACAGCAGTTTATGGGAAAGGAAGGTTCTAGATTTAGGTGTTTGATGTCCAGGCGTTTTGTTTGCTTTGTTTAACTTCTCGTTCCTTCTTTGCATTTTTTATTTGGCAGCATATTTTTTTAACATTTATTTTACTCAAGTCCACTTGCTGGCTCAACGGCGGTATTTGGTTAGCCTTTTTCTTCTTTCTTTTTTATGCTTTTTAGTGGGTGTTGGTCAGGACATCGTCGATTTGACTTTTTTTTCTTTTTCTTCCATTTCTTTTCTTCTGTTTTGCTTACTCCTTCATTGCTTCTCTCCTAAAAAAAAGTTTGAAGGGGCGAGCCGGGGCGTTCTACATTGCAAGACACGGGCCGGGCTTGTTTAACATGTTTATCTGGTGGTTATTCGCTTTCGTTTCGTTTTAGATAGACTTTTACATAGTGTTATTTATTTTTGCACGCACTGGGTGGGGGAGTGAGGGGAACCTTCATGCTTGATGATGGAATACTGGGTTCTCAATAGTTTAATGCAGGTATTATATAGATTTATCACTATCATATATTTACCCCGTTTCCCTACCTATCCGAGGAGCTCTGTAATTTTACTCGGGTTTCGGGTTTCGGGTTTTGACATGAACAATCACGAGTCAAAGTATAATTATTGCTTTTTCTTCTAGTTCAACCACCAAAAAAAAAAACATAAACTCCCATTAATACATAACATTCCCGTACAATACCAGAAATTGAGGAACAATACAAAGGCGTAGATACAATTGATAACCTTTCCCCGCCTAAATAAG